AGACACTTCGGAAAACAGTTTGGCAGTTTCCTTTAAAGTTATGCATAAACTGGTCATAAGATGCAGCAATTCTACCCTTAGGTATTTACATGAGAGAAATAAACACGTAAGTCCACACACAGAACTGTGATTTATATACATAACAGCTTTATTCATAATAGGTCAAAACTTGAAACAACCTAAATGTCCATCAATAGGTGAACAGCTAAACAAACTGTGGTATATCCATATACTAGAATACAATTCAGCAATAAAAAGGAACTTAATACTGATATATACAATAACATGCATTAATCTCAACATGAATGGGTTTCCAAAGCATTATTATAGGGAAAAAAAAAGTGAGACACAAAAAGAGTGCATGTAATACAGCCTATTTATTTCAAATTCTAGAATTCTGAAGTCAAATCTAATGTATAGTCACAGAAGTAGACAAGTAGTTGGCTAGGGATGGCTGTTGGGTGGTGGGGACTTTAGAGAACTGCAAAAGGGCTCTAGAGAACTTTTTGGGTGGTGGACATATACTACATTAGAATGGTAGTGGTAGTGAAGTGGGTGTTCACATTTGTCAAAACTCTCCAAAGTATCATCTTAAAATATTTGCATTTTATTATTTCTAAATTATACTCATTTAAGAAAGTTAAGAGAGGTAAAGAGAGTATATCCTAATTCATTTCACGTTCTTCCCTTCCAATTTAATCTAGAGTCAACAATGTGGTCTGTCACAATTCCAAGTCAGCAGACCTTTTAAATACCCTGAAAAAATGTTTACTGGTTGCCTTGTAGTTGACACTACTCAATTTCAACAGAATTTCCATTATTTAAAAAAATCTTTATCCATTGATTTGAAGATAATTACTATGGAACTATGGTTTTAAAATTAGCATAGAATTTCCATATTTGATTTTTAATATATCTCATGCTTACTTTGAAACATAATCTGCACTCATCTTTGTTAAGGTTTAAGAGAGACATAAAATAATGTTCCTGTCCTTGAACCACTTGAGAGAAAGACAGATGGAGATTCAATATATTGGGTTTATTGCTGAAAAAGGCTAAGTTAGAGGATATACTTTAAGTTTATGCCAACAATAGCCACCGGATATTGAACTCACAATTAGACAGAACTGCTCACGAAGGCATGGGCAGTTCTGCACAAGCACAGGTCTCCCTTTGCAGAGGCAAAGAACCTTCACTGCAAGGTTCACAATGTGAGTGGCAAGAGACCAAAACATAGGTTCTCTGCAGGCATGACAAATCCACAAAAAGGGAAAAAGAGGCTAGCATGACCAGTTCTGTATCTTAAACTGCCTCTTTTCCTGGGGAAGTGAGAGGAAGAGATCACAATTCCTTGGTAAATGCATAGCCTAAGAAGCACTATGAGAGGAGGCCATCCTCACTCCCTGCTTTCTCACCAAAGTGTAGATCAGCATTTCTCAAATGTTCTTCCACATTGGTACATAAATAAGGTGAACTTCATATATAACACCTATTATGGTATGATTCATGCTACACTAGCTTTAGGGCCATGTTTCCTCTTCCAAAGTAACTATATTTAATTGCAAGTGACTAAGACAAATGACTCTAGAGATAACCTCCTTTATTTCATTTACTTTTTATAATTTATATATTTATGTATCTTATTATTGGTTAAAAAAATTTAGTCTCAAAAGTCTTTGTTATAAAATACATCCGTTTAATAACCTCTAAGGAACAAAAAAACACATTTAAGATATCCATTGATTTGAAAATAATTACTATGGAACTGTGGTTTTTGTGTCAACTCCCAACTCATTTAGATATTAATACATTTATCATGAAATCATATGTCAGAATGGCTGGTCCAGAGTCAATTTAGGAGGGCTTCTGACTCAAGGAAATTAAAAGAAATGATTTTTAATTTTCTTAGTGCTGGGAAAGGCAGTGAAACAAGCTTTTGAATCATTATGTAATTTTCAAGTAACTAAAAGGGCTATAGTATTCAGTTATAATCATAAAAACTCTTCATTTCTGAGACAGAGCTTTTTAAAATCTTCATTATAGTTTTACCATACAGCATCAATTCAAAAGATTGTCATACTGAAACCACTGCCATAAAATTTTTTATATAGGGCCCAGGCACAGTGGCTCACGCCTATAATCCCAGCACTTTGGGAGGCCAAAACAGGTGGATCACGAGGTCAGGAGTTCAAGACCAGCCTGACCAAGATGGTGAAACCCCATCCCTACTAAAAATACAAAAAATTAGCAAGGCGTGGTGGTGGGCGCCTATAATCTCAGCTACTCAGGAGGCTGAGGCAGAGAATTGTTTGGACCCAGGAGGCAGAGGTTGCAATGACTGGAGATCACGCCACTGCACTCTAGTCTGAGCAACAGAGTGAGACTCCATCCAAAAAAAAATTTGTATGTAGGCCCCAGTTACAGTAGATCTGGCTTCTGTGATCTATAACCTGCATGGCTTTTCAATGTGATCTATAACTTGGATGACTTTTCAATGTTTATGTAGTGGCTGTTAATATATTTAAGTACTCTATAACCAAAGAGCCTATTTTCCAGAGAATGATACATGATTCTTGAGTTACCAGGCATGGTCTGGATGTGCAGTGTTCTGACTAATGTGTGTCTATGCCATGCAATTTTCAAACAAAAATAATATAAATTATATTCAATAGAACTTGAACACTAAACAGTGCTATTTCAGAAAGTATATTAAACATCTACATTACCATCATGAACATCAATTATTTCTCTTCAGATTCATAAAGATTTGTTATTAAAATTAACAAGCTTAGTCAATGTATATCATTATTCACATCCTTGTAAAATCATGGGCACATTTTTCTCTTCATGCATAGAACAGTATTAGCTAAAATAAGCATTCTTGGGGGCCTGCAGAAATTAGCTGCCTTCCTTCTCCATAACTCACTGTCCCTTTTTCTCCTCTATCTTATGTCTAAACTATTTTATATCTTACAGTCTTACATCTGAGTAAGAAAGACACTAACTTGGCTTACTATGCCAATACAGAGGAAAAACTAAGTTCTTTAACAGGGCCTAATGGCCACATGCATTCCATCCTGAGTCTTGCCTCTTTTGAGCTTAAGCTACAGACCCTCTCAAGAAAAAAATCCCACTATCTCTCCTATAATACTGGAAGCAGTGACTTCTTACTTTCAGATAAGGAAAGGATTACAAAAAAAAGTTCTCCTTTTTTTAAAATCAGAGGAAATTGAGACTAAATATAACCAAACTAATTCAAGGTCTTCATAGACATAGCTAGCATTTACTGAAATAGCTAGTATTACTTCATGTGCGGGGCACCATGCAAGTTACTTTAAATGTATTATGTTCATATCAGAAAGATATTAAGGAGATCAATCTAATTTTTCAAAAGCTAACAATACAAAATAATAGGAAAAAATCTTCAAAATGTAGAAGAAAATATTTATTCACAAATTACACAGTAAACAAACATCCATTACTCAAAACAAGATACCAAATGTTGAGTACTGACTTCTCTAGATACATATTTACTTTTTGAGAATGTTCTTTATTCTCAAAAAATATATAATTAATGTATTTTTTTTGAGCATTCTGAAACTAACCTCTCTAACCAGAGCTAAATTTCTGATGATACAACTTAGGGAAAGAATTATTATTTTCAAGGCAAGTGCTAATTTCTCCAACTCAGAAAAGAGATATGCATTCCAATAAAACAAAAGTTTTAAAAACCATCTTCATAAAAAATGTAGATCATTACTTACATGCTCCAATAGTAGTAAGATGTTTAACACAAAGTGGGCTACTTTCATTCCTAACAAAGATAAAATTAATTTTACACCAATAATATCTTCCTGAGTGCCAGAAGTAACAGAACCCAACAGGTCTATATTATTACTACGATATACAGTAGAAAAATAATAGTTCAGATTAGTAATGACAGTATTGGCTTGTGAATGTGATTGTGGCCTTTCAATAAAATATTTCTTTTTTTTTTTTTTTTTTTTTTTTTGAGATGGAGTTTCGCTCTTGTTACCCAGGCTGGAGTGCAATGGCACAATCTCGGCTCACCGCAACCTCCGCCTCCTGGGTTCAGGCAATTCTCCTGCCTCAGCCTCCTGAGTAGCTGGGATTACAGGCATGTGCCACCATGCCCAGCTAATTTTTTGCATTTTTAGTAGAGACGGGGTTTCACCATGTTGACCAGGATGGTCTCGATCTCTCGACCTCGTGATCCACCCGCCTCGGCCTCCCAAAGTGCTGGGATTACAAGCTTGAGCCACCGCGCCCGGCCTAAAATATTTCTTTAATATAGGTTTCTCATACTCATGAGACTGTACTATAAATCACATTACATTTTCTATGTATTTTGTGCTTATTTACTCACTGGCATGCCAATAACAGTGCTACTTTTTTATTTTAAAAAAGATATAATTAGCTATTTTAAATTGTAATTATTTTTTATTTCACTGAGTAGTTTCAAAAAAAGTTATCTAGAAAAGTAATTCCCAATCATCAGATGGAAACATACAAGCAAGAAATTAAGTTGTTTCCAGGGTTTTTAAAGCTTTGTAAAATAAAGAAAATAAAGTATTGGTTTTGACTGGGATAATATAGCAGTACAGTTGTATTAACCTATCTGTAAAAGCCATTCATTTAAAAATACACATTTTAAAAATGACTCATTTGTGGTAAGGATTACTTACTGTAACAATTAAAAAATAAAACCATCATTCTCATATTTATCAGTACTTCAAACATCTAACAATTACTAAAGGAGACAACTACCGTTGTTATACTTCAAAGTCAAAAGAAAAACACAAATCAGAATTAAGAGAAACTTCAGAAAATGTTCAGAATGTACATATTTGCGTGCATTTTCAGCCAAACTTTCAAGCATTCCACATATAACCAAAAGACAACTTTGAATCAAAATGTCAAAAATACTCAAGCTTTCTGACAGACTTACTCCAATGAAGCAAGAAAAAGAGAGTAAATAGTAAGAGCAGTATATTTCTCTGAGGGAGGGAAATCACAAACTTCCTTTATCATAAAACAAAAGTTGAGACAGCATTTCAGTATCATTGGCCAAGTTATTCACTATTCAAGAATACACTTTTCAAGTTGTCTTTCAAATGTATTCATTTACATATTCAGATTAAACTAAGTTTATTAATCACAAAAACATTTTACTCAGAATTTTAACCTTGAGAAATATAAATCATAACTTATTAAAGCATATTCCAAACACTATACAATAATCCTGCCTTTTTAGTTTTTATATGCCTCATCTGAAAAACTTACTTTACAACCAGGAGTTCTGCTATCTATCTCCAGAGTATGTGTCTCTATGTCAAAAATTCAAGTGGCAATCAAAAAGGCAGATTCAAATAATTCTATGCATATTGCTTCATCGGGCTTTGATAAAAACAGAGCCATCTGGTGGTGTAGCACCATCTTCCTTTTCAGTTACAGTCTCTACAGCCCCAGAGGCGGACACAATGACCATTGTTTTATTTGCTGAAACTGTCTTCTCTTTCTCAGCAATAGCCGCACAAACAGCAACAATCTCATCACTTTCAAAATCATAGTCTGGAATTGACTTTGGTAAAAAGTGTGTTACTTCAGCTGGTGCTTCACTTTTTGTAATCCTCTGCGCTACCTTCTGCTGCTCCTGGAGCGTTCTTGCCCAAGAGAGGTCTTCTTTCCATATTTCAGGGTTCATTGGATAGATATGAAGGGCTACTTGAAAACTTCGAATGGCCTAGAAAATAAGGTCAGAGTTTTTTGCTTTGTTTTTAAAAATGTGTATGTTTAATACAATCTTCTGTGTGTGTGTGTGTATGTATATACTGTACACATACATATCCTTATGTATTATTTTAATATACTAGAACACAAAAGATGAAAGCTAGGGTATTGCCCTAAACACTGGGGAAAAAAATTACAGAAGTGTGAAAGAAAGTGACTGATAATATGCCGATAGATTAAAAGCCATTAAAATGGAAGTTCTCATAATAGGGCTCAGGATAAAGCAAATATATTGTCAGCTTCTGCAGACCAGTAAACATGTACATTTGGGGATTTCCTGGGCTAACCCACAATCACAAAGGCACCAGGAGCAAATATCTTTGAAGTTAACAGTTTAGATCCTAACAATGTTAGCATTTATTGAGTGTTTACTACATTCTAGGCACTAAAGATTTACATGTATTGAGCCAGGTGTGGTGGCCAAATTTTTTTTTTTTTTTTTTTTTTTCTAAATATAGGGTCTCGCTATGTTACCCAGGTTAGTCCAAACTCCTGGCCTCAAGCAATCCTTCTGCCTCATCCTCCCAAAGCGCTGGGATTTACAGACATGAGTCAGCATTCCCAGGCCCTCAAGTGAATTTTTAAAACCCTCAATCATCTTCCTTTTGTCCGGAAATGACCACTTGTCCATCCCATTACTATAGGGATAATTATCATTACAAAAGTCAAACAATAAAAAGAATCAAATGATGCAACTAAAATTTCTAATTAAAGATTTGGTCATGCAAAATATTAAAACCATTAACTAAAATGAGACTTAGAAAACATTAGTAAACAAAATTAGTATTTATCACACCTTGGCATGAAGAAAAGCAAAAACTGGCAATGAATTACACAGAGCCTGAACAAGGGAAGCCACAAAGCTAGTTCCAGCACTGAAGGCTAAGAACCCTGGAAAGCTAACAGAAGAATCCCTCCTGACACTGTTACCTCCTGGTATTCATTACCTTTCACAATCTCCTTTCCTTTCTACCTTCTTCAGGATAAAACCCTTACGCATTCCTTTCTCACCATCCCCATTCCCTCATACAGAACTTTTAACTACCAGAACCATTCTCTTCAGCTTTCTTATTCCTTCATCCACGTCTTAAAAACTCATTCTCATACAGTCCTCTATATGAAGACACAAATACATATATAGTATGTATATGTGTAACATATACATATATATGTATATATACACATATATACTATGTATATGTGTATATATACATATACATATATCTCATATATATATACATATACATATATCTCACATATATACATAATCTCCTATAAACATTTTCTGATGTTCACATCCAACTCATAAAATTTAAATAATTATTCATGGAGATATACCCAACTATTGACTTTAATTTACTCCCTATGCTATTTACATATGTAATTTTCTATGGTTTTAGCCTATATGTGTGTGTGTATATATATATATACACACATATAAATTCTTACTATATATAGTAAGAATTGTTAGACGTTAGAAATTCTAGCTTGCTTTCAATATATTTTAAAGTATCCCTTCATTATGACATTTTGAGTCATCTTTTCTTTTTACCACTCTAGTCTTTTAAGAGAACAGCTTAAATCCACATAAAAACAGAGAAGATCCCTAAAAATTACATATAAATGTTGAAAAAAATACTTTCAATTCTTCTAAGAATTTCACAGTATTAATGGATAGAGTGATATCAACAGAAAAAAAAGTTCAACTAGGACTGTTATTCAAAAAAATTTAAATATTAAATTATTATTATTTTTTTTTTTTTTTTTGAGACGGAGTTTCACTCTTGTTACCCAGGCTGGAGTGCAATGGCACGATCTCGGCTCACTGCAACCTCCGTCTCCTGGGTTCAGGCAGTTCTCCTGCCTCAGCCTCCGGAGTAGCTGGGATTACAGGCACGCGCCACCATGCCCAGCTAATTTTTTGTATTTTTAGTAGAGACGGGGTTTCACCCTGTTGACCAGGATGGTCTCAATCTCTTGACCTCGTGATCCACCCGCCTCGGCCTCCCAAAGTGCTGGGATTACAGGCTTGAGCCACCGTGCCTGGCCAATATTAAATTATTTTTATTGGATGATTCAAAGTATCTCTTTGCTCAACTACAGTATATTTTCTTTCTTTATAAAGGACAATCTTTACTAAATATGTCATAGAGATTTGTTCTATTACCATAGACACTATAAGCCAGAGATAATGATTTATAAATTTTTAATAAGGGAGACAGGGAAAAAGTATTACATGATAGGGTTCTTTTTCTCCTGTTAATTTGTTAGAAAACTAAATTCCTTGAACTCTTTTTTCCAATTCTGATATGATTTAAGTCTTCAGGTAAAAAAAGAAAAGTTGACAATGCTAAATGACAAGAAAAAAAAACAGCACTTGGTTAAAATGGTTTCTATCACTGTGAATCTCATTTAGATTATTATTAACTTACTTTAGCCAATCAATTGTTTTCTCATTGAAATTCCTTACTATTTCTGAGAATTTGACAAACAGCTTTTTTGGTAAGTAGAAATAATCACACATTTATAAGAATGCCAGAAAAAATCTAAGTCATCCACAATTTACTAAAACCACTGTTAGTAAATTTAAATCTTGAATTTATCAGTAATTTTAGTCTTGCAAGAAACTTTTAAAATGTTTTATTTTGAACTGTAAAAAAGTAATAAAACCATTTTAAAAATCTTAATTTACTTAAAAACAAGATGGAAATTTGGCACTGCATATTAGATTTGCAAATACTTTTAGGAAGTTAAATTTTCTTAGCTATCAAGTATAGATGGCCCTGCCAAAAGAAAAACAAGAGGACTTAATTCTTCCCTTGTTAGCCTCTGCTACTAACAAGGTATAGTCCAGACAAGTTGAGAGATGCATTAAGTACCAGTTTACAGACTTTACACAATGAGTATTTCATTTGTACACAATTCTACTTTTCCTCTTTATCCCCTCAGTAAGCCTAGCAACTTTTCAGTCTAAATGTTCATCACCGCCGGGCGCAGTGGCTCAAGCCTGTAATCCCAGCACTTTGGGAGGCCGAGGCGGGTGGATCACGAGGTCAAGAGATCGAGACCATCCTGGTCAACAGGGTGAAACCCCGTCTCTACTAAAAATATAAAAAATTAGCTGGGCATGGTGGCGCGTGCCTGTAATCCCAGCTACTCAGGTGGCTGAGGCAGGAGAATTGCCTGAACCCAGGAGGCGGAGGTTGCGATGAGCCGAGATCACGCCATTGCACTCCAGCCTGAGTAACAAGAGTGAAACTCCATCTCAAAAAATAAACTAATAAATAAAATAAAATAAAATAAATGTTCATCACCATTGTTCTCCCATATTCTTCTATATTCCTTCCCCTGTATAATCTATTATCAGTGGTTTTGTCTCCACAGTGATATTAATACCACTTTATAATGTGGTAAATTTAATAACCCTAAGAACTAAGACAAAAATGCCAATGTTTTGTTAATTTTTTTTAATTTCCATAATGTCAAGTAACTGAAAAATATTCTGATCATGATATAATTAGTGTTTATAATAAAAAAAGATATACAGTAATACCTCCGATCTGTGTTTATGGGTTAATACCTTTAAGAAGTAATTTTCTAATTATTTTTTATATAGATTTGATGAATATTCACTTTTGGGTTCAATTAATCCAAAATTTGTCAAAATAGGCTGGGCGCGGTGGCTCATGACTATAATCCCAGCACTTTGAGAGCCCGAGGCAGGTGGATCGTTTGAGGTCAGGAGTTTAAGACCAGTCTGGCCAACATGGTGAAACCCCATCTCTACTAAAAATACAAAAACATTAGCCAGGCAGGGTGGTACATGCCTGTAGTCCCAGCTACTCGAAAGGCTGAGGCAGGAAAATCACTTGAACCCAGAAGGTGGAGGTTGCCATGAGCTGAGATTGCGCTACTGCATTCCACCCTGGGTGACAGAGCAAGATTCTGCCTCAAATATATATATATATATATATATGTGTGTGTGCTTAAAATTTCTGCATTATAATAATCTGACTTCCTCACCAGGATTATCTCTCCTAATCCAAGTTGAGCACGTCCCAAAGTTTGCCAAGACTCCCATGAATGTGGATTTCGCTGGACGGCCATTTCTGCTGCATGTACTGCTGGGAACATTTCATGAAGAGACATTAGCACCTATAAGCAAACAAAAGACCAAAAAAACTATCAGTAATTATATTCATAAACCAGCAATTACATTAAAAAATCCTTTCCATTTTTTTAAGGTACATTTTTAGTCCAGTAAAAATAGCATTTTGGTGATTTTCACCCCCTACTCTGCCATTCAGGGTAAAAAATTATAGTTCTCTTTTCACCCTGAAATAACTATGAAAATATAAACTATTCCCTTTCCAGTTACTGAATCCTATGTCCATCTGATCAAAACCAAGTGGTCATATTCTAACCATGATGGCTCAGAAGTATTTTGAACTCCCAATTCCACTTCTATTTATTTTATTTACAGTGTGGCTTTTAGGGAACCCCAAGTATTGCCATTAAACTAAGTGAATTAATTTGTTCAACCAACCATCCTGTCCCTAATGAACATCTTTCTATTATAAAAATTATTTAAATGGCTGGGCGCAGTGGCTCACACCTGTAATCCCAGCACTCTGGGAGGCCAAAACGGATGGATCACCTGAGATTGGGAGTTTGAGACCAGCCTGACCAACATGGAGAAACCCCATCTCTATTAAAAACACAAAATTAACCAGGCATGATGGCACATGCCTGTAATCTCAGCTACTTGGGAGACTGAGACAGGAGAATCACTTGAACCCTGGAGGCAGAAGTTGCGGTGAGTCAATATCGTGCCATTGCACTCCATCCTGGGCAACAAGAGCAAAACTCCGTCTCAAAAAAAAAAGTATTTAAAATATTCCCTAGGCCTTCTCACTACTAAACATTTCAAACCATATATACCAGAAAGGTAGGGTTAGAGTTAGGGAAAGTTAGGGTTACCAGAGAGTTCTAGCACCCTCCATTGTAGTCTATGGAAAAGGGCTGGGATTTTATCTATAATCTTTAGATAAAAGATTTATGACACAAACATCATTATCAGGTTCCAAATTAAACAACTCTTCATATAGTTTGCCACAAACCTGTTATTAATATATACATATTTAAGATTGAAAATTAGGCCGGGCGCGGTGGCTCAAGCCTGTAATCCCAGCACTTTGGGAGGCCGAGGTGGGTGGATCACGAGGTCAAAGAGATCGAGAACATCCTGGTCTACATGGTGAAACCCCGTCTCTACTAAAAATACAAAATATTAGCTGGGCATGGTGGCACGTGCCTGTAATCCCAGCTACTCAGGAAGCTGAGGCAGGAGAATTGCCTGAACCCAGGAGGCAGAGGTTGCGGTGAGCCAAAATCAACCATTGCACTCCACCCTGAGTAACAAGAGCGAAACTCCATCTCAAAAAAAAAAAGACTGAAAATTAAAGGAATCCAAATGAAGGTCCTCATATCACTTGATTCAGTTGACATAATTTATTTGGGTTTTTCCTAGATAAACTAAATAAAGTCAGAGGTGACAAAGGGTGTGTCCTATATTTGAGATCATGATTTGAAAAATATTTGTTAGGCGTGCAGGTTAAGGCTGAATTAAAACAATTCCCTGTCAAAAATATGTTTAATGCTCTGTGTGAGACTTTTAAAATCACTTGGATAACCTATTCAAGTGCTCAGAGGTTTTCTTTACAGACTTTTCCACGAAATACTAGAAACGTATTTTTAAAGTACAAATGTTATTTTTAAACTATTAATAAAATTGCATCTATGCTGACCTTTTGTTAGGATTAAGCCATTTTTAGAACTATCTCATCTAGAACCCAATCCATCCTCATTTTTATGAAAACTGAGTTATTCTGTTAAGTCTACTACAATTAATTCACAAGGAAAGCAGATGCTTTTCATCTAAGAGATCACCAATCACTTTGTATTTATTTTTTATTTATTTTTTTGAGATGGAATCTCGCTCTGTCACCCAGGCTGGAGAGCAGTGGTGCCATCTTGACTCACTGCAACCTCCGCCTGCCATGTTCAAACGATCCTCCTGCCTCAGCCTCTCAAGTAGCTGGGACTACAGGAATGTGTCACCACACCTGGTTAATATTTGTATTTTTAGTAGAGGTAAGGTTTCACCATGTTGGCCAGGGTGGTCTTGAACTCCTGACCTCAAGTGATCCACCCACCTCAGCCTCTCAAATTGCTGGTATTATAGACGTGAGCCATGGCACCCGGCCACCAGTGACTTTATAAAAGGTATCCATCTATTTCTATCTTAAAGTACTTAGGCCGAAATAACAGTTAATTTCATTGTGAAGGCAAATGAATTTCTAATTTTATGCATAAGACAGAGTCATAAATAATGGTAAATTTTTTTTCCCAAAGAAATTGTATTTGAAAAAAAAAAATGGGAGAAAATGCTATTTTGGTTCATCATTGCTCACTCACCGAACAAACATAGCACAATTTCATAATTGAAGTGAAATTATTCATAATTATTACCTGTGATTTCATCTCGTATAGCGTAGCATCATTTGGAGTTAACTGTAGTGCTTCATCCCACTTCTGAATTGCCTCTCGATATCTATGGTTGTTAAAGTTATATTAATATCATATTTTCAGAAAGCCCTTTTTTTAGACTTTTTAAAAACTGTTGAAAGTAAATTTTTAATAAAATATAAAATTTACCATCTTAACCATCTAAGTGTACAGTTCAGAGGCATTTAGTAGCATTAAGTACATATAGTACATTCACATTTTTGTGCAACCACCACCACCATTCATCTCCAGAACTTTTCCATTTTCCCAAACTGAAACTCTGTACCCATTAAACAGTAACTCCTCATCGCCCCATCCTCCATGCCCAGGAAAACACCATTCTATTCCTAAAGACTACTTTCAGGAGACGTAGTCATGTATTTCCAATTCAATAGTTGTATAGATTATTTTCTAGTCCATGAAATATATATAAAAATCCAAAATAAAGGATTAACAAATTAAGTCCAGCAACTTATTAAAGTACAAAATCCACATGATCATGTAGTGTATGCTCAGAAAAACTTAGAAATGGGTTCATATGTAACAGATAAGAAAGAAAAAAGTACATGCCACTAAAGAATACTTACTGTAATTTAACACCCATTTCTGATTATAATAAAAGTATATGCAACATTGAAGAAATTTAGTCCCTTGGTGCCATTATCTACTAAGCTTTAATGATATAACCTCTGAAAGCGGTAACTAAAATAAAGTGCTTGTGCTTCTTCAGGCATATTGTGGATGATACCAAGCCTCTCTACACAGTATTTCCAAATGTTATTACAAATGCAACAGGAAAAAACTTCGGTAATTAATTTATTAATGTATTCCTTCATAACAATCTTTACACTCACAATTTTCTAACAAAGGCAACAGTAGTAAATTCTTCAAGACTTAAGAGTAGCAAATGTCCTTCCTCCAGCATTAGGAGGAAAAGACTGTCCAATTTTTTTTCTACCACTCCCTAGTCATACCTGTGCTCCACTTATAGTCCCTACCCACATATGCCTTTGTTAGTATGGCTCCTCTGCTGCACATACACACACACATCTGTATTAGTCCATTCTCACGCTGCTATAAAGAACTGCCCAAGACTAGGAAATTTATAAAAGAAAGAAGTTTTAATTGATTCAGTTCCACAGGGCTGGGAGGCCTCAGGAAACTTACAATCGTGGCAGAAGGGGAAGCAAACATGTCCTTCTTCACATAGAGGGAGGAGAGAGAAATGAGTGCTGAGCAAATGAGGAAGCCCCTTATAAAACCATCAGATCTTGTGAGAATTCAGTGTCATGAGAACAGTATAGCAGAAACTGTCCCCATGATTCAATTATCTCCACCTGGCCCCATTCTTAACACATGGGGATTATTACAGTTGAAGGTGAGATCTGGGTGGGGACACACAGCCAAACCATATTACATATCTAAGACTGCCTTCCTATCCCTCTGCATCTATTGAAAAGACTCCTCCTCTAAGACCAAATTAAAATGTTCCATTCTTCATGAAGACCTCCTCCAGTGGCTCTAGCCCACTAACTATGAGTAACACTTCAGGCCACATAGCAACACTTACATATCTAAAGCATTTTATGTTTTACAAAGCACTTTCAATAAAATTATTTAACATATTTATTTTCCCAAAAAGTTAATTCACTTACTAAAGTAAATGAATATAAACTTGATATTAATTTGCTTTTTAAAAAAATTTTTTGAAAGACATGGTCTTGCTCCATTGCACTGGCATGATCATAGCTCACTGCAGCCTTGAACTTCTGGGCTCAAGGGATTTTCCCACCTTGGCTTCCCAAGTAGCTAGGACTATAGGCATATGCCACTATGCCCAGCTAATTTTTTTATTTTTATTTTTTATAGAGACAGGATCTTGCTATATTGCCCAGGCTGGTCTCAAACTCCTGGCCTCAATCAGTCCTCCTGCCTTGGTCTCCAAAAATGCTGAGATTATAGGGGTGAGCCACCATGCCTGGCCTCAAGTTTGGCATTACTTGTTCTCACTTTATTTATAAGGAACCAATGGTTGAGAGCAGCTACAGGACTGTCCAAATCCTGCAAAAGACAAGATTTAAAGCTAGGTCTTACAAATACAAGACCAATACTTTCTGTAACTATACCAAGTATATCTCCCATTCAATTCTGCTCGAATTCTCCTTGTATTTTTGTCTCCTCATCTCAAATGAGTTCAGGAACCAAAGGGTAGATTTATTTATATGCTCTACAGCACCTAGAACATTTCTGGGAATGTAGAATTACTAATATAACAGATTTTTTTTTTTTTTTTTTTTTTTGAGACAGAGTGTCACTTTGTCACCCAGGCTGGAGTACAGTGGCGCAATCTTGGCTCACTGCAACCTCCCCCTCCCGGGTTCAGGCACACACTACCATACCCAGCTAATTTTTGTATTTTTGTAGAGACGGGGTTTCTCCATGTTGGTCAGGTTGTTCTTGAATTCCCGACCTCAAGTTATCTGCCCGCCTCAGCCTCCCAAAGTGCTGGGATTACAGGCATGAGTGACCAAACCCAGGCTAATATAACAGATTCTATCTAACTCATTTGTCCTACCTTCTCCAAGTCCTGAAGCCAGCAGAGAGAAGCACAGAAAGCATGAAAAGAGGGGACAGATGTAGCATGCTGTTAACATATCAGGAGAAAAAAATGGTAATAAAAACAAATTCTATCCTAAAAGTGGTAAAAAACGTTAATTCTTACTTTGCTCCATTCGTTACTTCACATATAGAAATTATAAGAAATTCCAAGACCATGGAAATGTGAGTATGGGTAAAAAAAAAAAAACCAAAGGCATTAGAATTCTTGGTATAGTGGAGGGACCTTAACACCTTGGATGTTTGATGTTTCAGGAGTCTTTGAAGCTTTTAAGGAAGGGGCTGAAGGTCTTTGGTCTCTAGAGCAAGGGGTGACACAGTAAAGGTCCATATAGTAAATATATTAGGCTTTGTGAACCATACAGTCTGTCACAACTATTCAACTCTATTACTGTATCCCAAAAGTCAGCCATAAACAATCAATTAAAAAATGGACATGGCTGTGTCCCAATGAAACTTTATTTACAATAATAGGCTGTAGTTTCCCAATCGTAGATCTACTTAGCCCAACTACTATTAAAAGCTTATCATATTTGCCAAATTTACTTTTTACTTTCAGTTCTATTTACTCCCCAACTCAACCAGAGGAAGTTAGCGTACCATAAAAGGCATTTGTGGTCATCACTGTGACTTGGAGGCACTAGTGGCAGAGGGTCAGAGATGTTAACATTCTTCAAGGCAAAGAGCAAGCCTGCACAATAAAGGCATCCTGTTCTCAGCAGTTTTCCCCAAAATATCACTAGCACTTATCCCATCCCAACCCCACAAAGCTGCTTATGTTCCTAAGCTTAAGTTGTCCCAAGTACAAAATAAACTAAGAGGTTCAAGGTGACAATGAGCATCACTAGTTATTTCTTTTTATTAGGCAGGTATGCATGTGTGCATATACATACAAACACGCATACACACACACATGCAAACATAGGCTCACAAATTTGAGAAAAAAGAAAAATGTTCTCCTTCTCCACTGCACTGCCTTTTATTTTGAAAACATAACCACTGCTGCCAGCAGAGGCATCACTCAATGAAATGTGCTTTATTGCCAACAAAGCATATAAAGGTTTAAAGGAACAACTGAGCTGTTTTCCACTGGCTAAACAAAGCAAGAAATGGTGGGCGTTTACTTCACCATCATCAGCTTGTTCAATTCTTCCCCCTTCTCATTTCTCTTTGGTTTACTTCTCCTGGCCTGCAAACAAAGGGTGGCACCACTTAGTTCCTCCATTTTTAGATCACAGGAAATTTGGCACCGAACAAATCAATAGTCTCTCATAACTTCTACAGCATTATCTCTTAATTCAACTTCAGTTTGGAACAGACTGAACAGACACAGCCCTACTGCAGCTGTTGGATAGGAAGCATTAAAAGATAAAAACTTGGTTTAAAGTCACTGTGGTTAATAAATGACCAAAGTCTGATTCCGCCAGTTTGAGGACAACCTTAACAGTGTGCAACTGAACTAGCACAAGGAAGGAAGCAAAGGGAATAGTTCCATGGACTACAATAGGGCAGGATGAGATAATTCCCTACACTGAGGTAAAGAACAGCTGGTGATCAAGCTAAATAAGTTAGATAGCACACTCATTTACCAAATAGAAATGTCACAGTGTTTAGCTACTTTACTCCCAATTACATTTCTAATTTATTGTGTCTTTAAATTGAATGAGCTATATAGTTAACAGCTTATTCACTTTATAAATATTTACTGGGCCCCTACTCTGGAACAGGTAGAATTCTTTTAATAAGTGCTAAGGATACAACATTCAACAAGATATAAAAGGTCCCTGCTATCCTTCTAGATCTTACTTTCTAAAGTGTATGCATATTAGAAGGGGCCAGGGAAAGAAAGACAAGCTAAAAAACAAGTACCATGATAAAAGACAAACGGAAGAATGGGATAGGGAGTGACCAAGTGGCTACTCAGAATGGGTGAGCAGGGAAAGTCTTCCTAGGAACACATCCAAGCTGAGACCTGAGTGACAAAAAGTAGTTAGACAACAGAAAATCTGAAGAAAGTCCATTCCAGGCAAAGGGAAGAACCTGGGGCAGGACCAAACCATGTTTTGTGGAAATGAAATAAAACCAGAGAGGAAGGGAAGTGACAGGTCAGAGAGGTGGACTGAAGCTATGATCACAGAGAATACAATAAGCCATAGTTATACATATGGATTTAATTGTATCTGTGATAGAGAATCCATAGAGTTTGTATACAACAGTGAGATATGAATTATTGACTGACATTTTTAAAAGATCAGTTAGGCCCTGAAGAGAAGAATAGACTGTAAGGGTATCAAAATGTATACAAGGAGGTTAGATATAAGACAACCAAAGTAATTTAGGTATGAGATAACCATCAAAAAGGATAGCAGCAGTAAAAATAGAAAAGGGAAAAAAGATTTACAATACACTAAAAAGGGAAAATTAGCTCAATTTGGACTTGGTATAATGAGTTACCTGGAAAACAGAGCCTGAGGCCAAAGCTTACTGGCTAAATCTTTGTTGAGTGGGTAGGATCCCAGGGAATCAAGAGTGAGGGAAAAACAGAAGTAAGGCAGGACGAAAGAAGAATAAACACAAGGCCTGTGTTAAGCTGGCAACAGCTCCAGAAATAAACACAGATGATTGTTGATCTGGACAGCAAAAGGAAAGGAACAAGCAAAGATTAAAAAGGAGTGGACACAGAGACAAGGAAAAGCATGATAGCATGGTGGTGCAGAAGATGAGACAGCAGTGTATTTAGGAAGAGCATGGTCACCTATGCTGAATGATGAGAAGCACATAAATGAGGATAGAGAAGTGATGACTGGATCTGACATCATGGAGGTCATTGATAACCTTTACAAAAGCAGTTTCAGTGGATTCATGGGTACAGAAATCTGACTGGATGGTTCATCAAGAAATGGAGTTTGTAGTCCAGGGGCAGCAGAGAAATGGCACAGCTTTTGGGGAGAAGCTTTTTAAATGGATGTTATCAGGGTATATTTGCATGCCAGTGAGAAGAAACTGAGAGAAAAGGAGAAACAGAAGGTATAAAAATGAGAGGACAATTTTAGAACAACGTTCCTGAGAAGGCACAAAGGGAAGGGGTCTAGAGTACAAGTGGAGTGGTAGGCCTTTTATAAGAGCAGGGCACTTCATTACAATGGAACGATGACAGATAGTATGGGCGCAAATACAATACGGTTGGAAGATGTGCTGGTGAGAAAATAAAGTCATTCTACACGGATTGTATCTATTTTTGTCCACATATGAGGCAAACCACTGTTATTAAATATACTGATGCGGGTAATCTGCAGAATGTGGATCACACAGCAAGATCACCCTCAAATTTACATTGGTAGGTATACTTTTCTAGACAATAAACAAAATGCATGGTAAATTCTAATTTATATCCCTGCTTCATACACATACACACTGATTGTAACAGAAGAATTTGGCCAGTTAGCCAGACAGTCAAATATCACCATCTAGTGGTTGAAACTTTAAAAGCCAACATTTCAAAGTTGAGACCAATACGGTGACTCTTAAGAAGGTATAACCCAGTTTGTATTAATTCTAGAAAAAGACATTTGAATAAAACAACTTACAAAAAAAAAAATACTACTACAGGAAATATACCAATAATATATAAAATCCTAAAATATTATATCTAAAGTACATTCACTTGGTGCTTGTTGGATGCTAGGTGGCATGCTCTTTCACATGGATTTTGCTCTTTAATCTTCCAAAATTCTATGAGATATGTATCACCATTTGACCTATGAGGTAGAAATTGACAAAGAATGACTGTCCAAAGTTTATGTAGATAGAAATGATAAAGTTGGGATTTGAATGGAGATAATCTGACTTCAAAATCTATGCTCTTAACCAGTATATTCACTAAACTGTCTCTAACAAGCACCAAAATTACTTGGGGGTTGGGTAGAAGAGTAAACCAGATTTTTGTTAAAAAGAATCATGAATGCTTTAAGGTAAAACTTCTGAATTTAAAAACCACTCAAGGTTGAGCATGGTGGCTCACACCTGTAATCCCAACACTTTGGGAGGCTGAGGTGGGCCCTGAGCTCAGGAGTTCAAGACCAGCATAGACATGGCAAAACCTCATCTCTACTAAAAATACAAAACATTAGCCGGGCGCGGTGGCTCAAGCCTGTAATCCCAGCACTTTGGGAGGCCGAGGCGGGTGGATCACGAGGTCAAGAGATCGAGACCATCCTGGTCAACATGGTGAAACCCCGTCTCTACTAAAGTGCAAAAAATTAGCTGGGCATGGTGGTGCGTGTCTGTAATCCCAGCTACTCCGGAGGCTGAGACAGGAGAATTGCCTGAACCCAGCAGGCGGAGGTTGCGGTGAGCCGAGATCGCGCCATTGTACTCCAGCCTGGGTAACAAGAGCGAAACTCCGTCTCAAAAAAAACAAAACAAAACAAAACAAAACAAAACATTAGCCGGGTGTCGTGGTGCACACCTGCAGTCCAGCTACTCGGGAGGCTGAGGCACAAGAATCACTTGAACCTGAGAGGCAGAGATTGCAGTGAGCCAAGATCGTGCCACTACACACCAGCCGCCTGAGCAATGAAGCAAGACTCTGTCTCAAAATAAAAAAAAAAAAAAAGACTGCTGACTTCTGCTACTATCCTACAAGTGGTGCACAAGAGTTACTAAAGAAGGCTGAGAAGACTGACAGGGTGATAAAATAATCAAGACCCCAAAATACATAATATCCAGATTTGAAATTTTACTGAAATCTAAACTATCTTTTCTATCAATTACCTTGCAAAATAACAGCAAATTCAAACACAAATACACCATGAACGTAAAGATATAAGAAACAAATATAGAATTATTTTACATTTGACAAGCACTCAACTTTATTTTTTTAATCAAATGTACTGGTATGTAATTTTTTATATACCAAAAAATATACCCACTTTAAGCATACTTTTTGATGACTTTTAAGAAATATATACACTCATATGAATATAACCACAACCATCAAAATAAAGAACATTTTTGTCAATCTAAAAAGTTCTCTGTGCCCCTTTCTCAGGAAACCTACCCCAACTGATGACCCCAGACAACTATTGATTTTTTCTGTCACTATAGATTAATTTATCTTTAGACAGAGTTATAAAATTGGAATTAGATGGTACGTACTCTTCCTAACTTCTTTCTCTTAGCATAAAGTTTTCGAGATGTCAATCATTTCTTTTTATTGTTCAGTAGAATACTATTGTATGGATATACCGCAATGTATTCATTTATTCACCTGCTGATGGGCATTACATTGTCCCAGTTCATGGACACGATAAATAAAGCTGCTAGAAACATTGTTGGAACAGTCTTTGTGTGGATATGTTTCATTTCTTCTGAGTTAGTATCTAGGAATAAAACTGTGAGACTGTACAGGAAAGTGTATATTTTAACTTTATGTGAAACAGGCCAGGCACAGTGGCTCACTCCTTTAATCCCAGCACTTTGGGAGGACGAGGCAGGCAGATCACTGGAGGTCAGAAGTTCGAGACAAGGCTGGCCTACGTGATGAAACCCTGTCTCTAATGAAATTCAAAAATTAGCTGAGTGTGGTGGTACGTGCCTGTAATTCCAACTACTCAGGGGGCTGAGACAGGAGAACTGCTGGTACCCAGAAGATTAAGGTTGCAGTGAACAGAGATCATGCCTCTGTAGCCCAGCCTGGGCATCTCAAAAATAAAAAATGAAATGAAATGAAGTAACTATTTGAAACAGCCAGTTTGCCAAGGAGGTAAATTTTATATTTTCATGAGCAATGTAAAAAGTTTCACTTGCTCCACATCTTTGCCAATACTTGATATGGTCAATTTTTTCAAAAATGTTAGCATTCTAGTAGCTATGTAATAGTATCTCATTGTGGTTTTAATTTGAAATTTCTTGATGACTAATAATGCTGAGCAGCTTTTTGTATGCTTCTTGGCAATTCATATATTTTCTTTTGTGAAGCATCCAGTCCAACTTTTTACCCATTCTGTACATGAATAGTTTGTTTTCTTCCTACTGAGTTATAAGAGTTCCTCTATATCCTGGAAACAAGTCCTATGTCAGATACATGCACTGGAAATATTTTCTCCGTGTCTGTGGCCTGACTTCTCATGTTCTCAATTACACCTTTTAAAAAACAGAAGTTTTCATTTGTATCAACTGACCACATTCATGTGAGTGATTTCTATATCACATATTATTTTCATTGATCCATGAAATGGATCAATAAAATGCAGTAAGGGGTGAAATTAAGTAATGTTAAGTTCCCTAAGTATGTTTGATTTCATAAAATTATTTTGGCTAGTCCAGAGTCTTTGCTTTTCCATATAAATTTTAGAATAAGCTTGTCAATTATCTCAAAAGAAAGCTTGCTGGGATTTTAATTGGAATCGCACTAAGTTTACAGATCAATTTTGGGAGAACTGATGTATCAACAGTCTTCCAAAATATGAGCATTGATTCAGACTGATACAGATCCATGGTTTGGATCTGTATCCCCACCCAAATCTCATGTCAAATTGTAACCCCTAATGTTAAAGGTGGGGCCTGATGGGAGGTGATTGAATCACAGGGGCAGATTTCCCTCTTGGTATGGTTCTCATGACAGTGAGTTCTTGCAAGATCTGGTTGTTTAAAAATGTATAGCACACCCACCACCCTCTCTCTCTCTTCCTCCTGCTCCAGCCACGTGAAGCCCAGCTCCCCGCTTTGCCTTCTGCCATGGTTATAGCTTTCCTGAGACCTCTCCAGAAGCTCAGCAGATGCCAGCATTATGCTTCCTATACAGCCCACAGAACCGTAAGCCAATCAACCCTTTTTTCTTTATAAATTATCCTGTCTCAAGTACTTGTTTATAGCAGTGCAAGACAAACTAACACAAACACAGTGTATATTTACTGATTTATTTAGGTCTTTTAAAATATCAGCAACATTTTGTAGTTTTCAACATACAGTTCTTTGTTTTGTTTTGTTTTTTGAGGCAAAGTCTCACTCTGTCACCCAGGCTGGAGTATAGTGGCGCAATCTCAGATCACTGCAACCTCCACCTCCTGGGTTCAAGTGATTCTCCTGAGTCAGCCTCCTGAATAGCTGGGATTACAGGTGCACAACACCATGCCTGGCTAGTTTTTGTATTTTTAGTAGAGATAGGGTTTCACCATGTTGGTCAGGCTGATCTCAATCTCTTGTCCTCATGTTCTGCCTGCCTTGGCCTCCCAAGGTGCTGGGATTACAGGAGTGAGCCACCATGCCTGGCCCAACATATAGTTCTTATACATGTTTTGCTGAATTTTTTTCCAAATAGTTTTAGAGTTGGTAATAATACTACAAATGGTGCTTTTTTGAAAAAAGAATTCAGTTTCCAATTGTTTTATTTTACCTGCATTATTGGCTTACAAGCCTTTTATTATTTTTTAATGGTTCCCCTAATCCATTTGTATACAACATAACAGCCTAATAGCAATATAATTCCATTTATCCCTTCATGCTTTCTATTACAATTGTTATATATTTTACTGCTATATAACTTTGCAAAATGTTGATGTTATTTAATGTCAATTATCTTTTTGAAGAATAAAAATTTTTTTTATATCAGTCTTCATACTTACTCACATGTTAAGTTTACTACTTCTAGAACCCTTTCATTATTTACTTAAATACAAATTTCTATCTGGTATGATTTTCCTTCCACTTAGAGAATTTCTTTTAATATTTCTTGAAGTGCAGGCCTACTGGTAATGGGTCATCTTAGCTTTTGTTTGTCTGACAAAGTCATTTTGCCTTCATTTCTGAAAGATATTTTTGTGGCACAAAGAATTCTATGTTGGCAATTTTACTTCCCTTCAAAACTTTAATGATGTCATTCCACTATCTTGCATAGACCTCCAGCTGACCTCAGCCACTACACTCTGAAATCCATGGTCACATTTTCAGCAAGCATAAATATCTCATGGTTTTTCTCCACATTAACTGAAAGTAGCAGAAATAAGAACAGCTCATTCCTGAGGGGCATGGGACTCCAATGAGGGACAACTCTGACTTGAAGACCTTTCAAGGTATTGTACAAATTTCTTTAAATTACATGACAGTCCAAGACATTTCTATCCAACCTCCCCTCCCACTTCCCTCCACTGGGGGTTAGACAAGCAAGCATAGCTCTCCCACACTCAGTTCCCACCCGATGTTCTCTCATATAGTGATTCTCCTAATGAAATCTTTGCATGGTTAATCCAGTCTTGGCATATGTTTCTAGGAGGACCCAGACTAGTATAAGTGTTCAGGTTTTTATTTCAGATAAAAAAACTCACCTTGACCTCAAACCCCTGGGCTCAAGCAATCCTCCTGCCTTGGCCTCTCAAAGCACAGGGATTACAGACAGAAGCTACCACACCCATCCAGAGTTTTTTAAAACTGAAACTGAAATCATACTAGATATACATACTATCTATCTATCTATCTATCTATCTATCTGTCTGTCTATCTGATAGGGTCTTACTCTATTGCCCAGATGGAGTACAGTGGCCCAACCTTAGCTCACTGCATCCTCAAACTCCTGGGGTCAAGCAATCCTCCCACCTTGGCCTCCCAAAGTTCTGGAATTACTAGCATGAGCTACTGTACCCAGCCAGTTGTACTGTTCTTTAATAGATTTGAAATTTTTTCTAAATAAAAAAAAAAGGCCTTTTCCACGAAAAATTACAAAGATACAATTCTATATTTTTCTTCTATTAACTACATAGTTTTACCTTTCACACGTTTTTAAACCCTCTAGGGTCCAGCTTTGTTCATGGTATTAGATATAGATCCAGTTTTGTTTTCCTCTATGTAGTAATTCAGTTTTCTCAACAGAATCTACTAAAAAATTTGTCTTTTCCCCACTGACTACTGAAAAATTATTTTTGGCCCCTCTTAAAAATCTAAGCAGAAAACAGAGAAAAGGAATTAAAAAGTAAGAAAAAGAGAAAAGGAAAAAAGAGAAAAGAAATAGGTGCATATAGGAAGAGTAAGACAACTTAGGTAAGGAAGGGCTAAAAATAAACGAAGTTATTATCAAATTCCTGTAAACCAAGTCATATTTACTGAAGTATATAAGAAGTAAATGGCAAAGAATAACTAAATACCTATTTTTTTTAAGTATGTGCCCTCAAAGCTATTCAGGAAATGCCTAATTTGCCTGGTACAGAATGTCATATGCAGAAAGTGGTAGGTAAGACCACCTTTTACTGACCAATCACTTTAGGCACAACAAAAATGATGGCAAAGCAGACATAATTAGCATCCTGAAAACTATTTTACAAATTTTCATTGCATCCTGAAAACTATTTTACAGAATTTCATTTCTCAGGTGACTTTGAAACAGTTTATTTCTTAGACTGATTTAGCACCTTTAATATATTTTTAAAACATGAATTTATCAAATTTGGAATCTTCATCCCATTACTGACAGTGAGCTAGAAAATGCAAGCTGTTCTCCATTTTAAAAAACTGTAAATGCATACCTTTTATTTTCAGCCAAACTGGCTCCTTCGTCCTTCAGCTGTTTACTTTTCTCAGCGCAGCCTTCAAGAATTTCTTTCCTACGTTTAATGGCATGAAGCCAATTCCCTTCATCGTTGTCGACTACATCCTTCTCATCAGCAGCTTCAGCTTCAAACTGCTGGGAAGTGACCTTTGAGACCTTCTCGCCAATTTTCCTCTTCCACCCAAAGGAAGCCATTCTGGAAAATTACAAAGAAACAGCTTTAAAATTCAAACTCAGTCTCTTTTAGAAGTACTCCACTCAATAAGTAAAGAAGAAATAATTGGATTAGACTATCACCATTTTTCTAATTAGTGGCTTTATGCAATAATAAATGCCCACTAACATTAAGACAGAAAAATGAACATTACACATCTCCCGATGGAATTGGCATGCCACCCATGAAGTAAGTACTCCTACAAAACTCAACTCTGAATCAGATCAGGCCTCAACCATTTTATAGGAAATATGGGATAAAGTAAAGCACGCTGAGTAACACATCTGAGATGCACATAGCAAAAAACAAAAACTAAATAAAAATAAAGCTGGTTTCTTCAAAAAATAAACTGCCAGGAGAAAAAGAAGAGAAAGGGAGGTAACCCCTAGATTAAGAGACACTAATACTAACCGGCCGGGTGCAGTGGCTCACGCCTGTAATCCCACCACTTTGGGAGGCCAAGGCGGGAGGATCACGAGGTCAAGAGGCCGAGGACCATCCTAGCCAACAGGGTGAAACCCCGTCGCTACTAAAAATACAAAAAAAATTAGCCAGGCCTGACGGTGCGTGCCTGCAGTCCCAGCTACTTGGGAGGCTGAGGCAGAATTGCTTGAAACCAGAAAACGGAAGTTGCAGTGAGCTGGGATAGCGCCACTGCACTCCAGCCTGGCAACAGAGCCAGATTCTGTCTCAAAAAAAAAAAAAAAATACCAACGTAATGTGTGAAACTTATTTCACTCCTGATTCAAAAAAGCCAATGAGAAGAAAACCTGGGTTTTTTGTTTTTGTTGTTTTTTGTTTTTTGAGACAAAGTTTCACTCTTGTTGCCCAAGCTAGAGTGCAATGGCACGATCTCAGCTCACTGCAACCTCCACCTCCCGGGTTCGAGTGATTTTCCTGCCTCAGCCTCCCAAGTAGCTGGGATTACAGTCGCACACCACCACGCCTGGCTAATTTCTGTATTTTTAGTGGAGACGGGGTTTCACCATGTTAGCCAGGCTGATCTTGAACTCCTGACCTCAGATGATCCGCCCGCCTTGGCCTCCCAAAACACTGGGATTACAGGAGTGAGCCACCCACCTGGCCAGAAGGAAACATTTATGAAATAGGAAGAATGGTAGCCAGGCGCAGTGGCTCACGCCTGTAATCCCAGCACTTTGGGAGGCCGAGGCGGGTGGATCACGAGGTCGAGAGATCGAGACCATCCTGGTCAACATGGTGAAACCCCGTCTCTACTAAAAATACAAAAAATTAGCTGGGCATGGTAGCGCGTGCCTGTAATCCCAGCTACTCAGGAGGCTGAGGCAGGAGAATTGCCTGAACCCAGGAGGCGGAGGTTGCGGTGAGCCAAGATCGCGCCATTGCACTCCAGCCTGGGTAACAAGAGCGAAACTCCGTCTCAAAAAAAAAAAAAAAAAAAAAAAAAAAAGAAATAGGAGGAATGAGAACACTGATTTGATATTTGATATTAAAAAATTACTGCTTTTTAAATTTTTTTTTTATTTTTGAGATGGAGTTTCAAAAGCAAGCTAGTAAATAAAAGAAAAAAAGAGATGGAGTTTCACTCTTATTTCCCTGGCTGGAGTACAATGGTACAACCTCGGCTCACTGCAACCTCTACCTCCTGGGTTCAAGCGATTCTTCCAAGTAGCTGGGATTACAGGCACACGCCACCACGCCTGGCTAATTTTTTGTATTTTAGTAGAAAAGGGGTTTCACTTTGTTAGCCAGGCTGGTCTCAAACTCCTGACCTCAGGTGATCTGCCAACGTCAGCCTCCCAAATTGCTGGGATTACAGGCTTGAGCCATTGCTCCCAGCCAATTACTGCTATTATTTCTTTGGTGTAATAATGGTATTGTAGTTATCTTTATAAAAAGAACCATTAGCTTTTAGGAATGCAAACTGAAATATTTCATACGAAATTATCTGACATCTAGGAATTGTTTCAAAGTAATCGGTGGTTGGGAGTGCAGTGGAAGGGAAAATACAGGTGAAGTTAGATTGCTTTTAATTGATAACTAATGAAGTTGAGTGATGAGTACATAGTGTTCATCGTACTTTTCTCTTTCCTTTCATATGTGTTAAATTTTTCCATAATAAAAAGGTTTTAAAAGATTCAAACTTGGTAAATGACTTAACTCACAAAATTGTTGTTGGGTAAATTTAAAAATAATGGATGTTGAACTACTCTGTAAATCTGTAATGATATACAAATGTAAGAAATAAAAAGAGGATAACTGATCAAACAAAGTTAAAGGAAATCCTGAAATAATTCAACAAATATTTATTTAGAGAAGAGATTAACTGAGGGATCCAAAAATTTACTAGTTGTATAGATGGTCTTGAAGATACTGAGAAACACCAGAAATTGTATATAAATTGTATAAAAAGGAGATTTTGATCAAATGATCAACTAGAGAAATAGAGAACAAAGCAATGAACCAAAAAAGAAAAGAAATGAACCAGCGGGCTTTACGAAACTACCAAAGAATGGGCACTGTGGGAGTATGGAAGGAAGAGAAATGAAATGGTGAATAACTTCGAGCAGGTATCAAAGTCTTCGTTACTTCCAGGGCCGGGCGCAGCGGCTCAAGCCTGTAATCCCAGCACTTTGGGAGGCCGAGGCGGGTGGATCACGAGGTCAAGAGATCGAGACCATCCTGGTCAACATGGTGAAGCCACGTCTCTACTAAAAATACAAAAAATTAGCTGGGCATGGTGGCGCGTGTCTGTAATCCCAGCTACTCAGGAGGCTGAGGCAGGAGAATTGCCTGAACCCAGGAGGCTGAGGTTGCGGTGAGCCGAGACCACGCCATTGCACTGCAGCCTGGGTAACAAGAGCGAAACTCCGTCTCAAAAAAAATAAATAAAAATAAAAATGTACATGCCTTGCCAGGTGTGGTGGCTCATGCCTGTAGTCCCAGAACTTTGGGAGGCCGAGGTGGGCAGATCACAAGGTCAGGAGTTCGAAACTAGCCTGACCAACACAATGAAACTCATTTTAGTATTTCTCTACTAAAAATACACAATTTAGCTGGACGTGGTGTTGTGCATCTGTAATCCCACTACTCAGGAGGCTGAGGCAGAAGAATCGCTTGAATCCAGGAGGCAGAAGTTGCAGTGAGCAAAGATCATGCTACTGCACTCCATTCTCAAAAACAAACAAACAAACAAAAAATTTACATGCCTTAATTTAAAAATATTTTATTGCTGTGCTCACTTCGGCAGCACATATACTAAAATTGGAACAATATAGAGAAGATTAGCATGGCCCCTGCGCAAGGATGACATGCAAATTTGTGAAGCGTTCCATTAAAAAAATATGTATATATTTTATTGCTAAGAAACGCCAATGATCATCTGAACCCTCAGTAAGTCCTAATTTTTTTACTGATGGAGAGTTTTTCCTCAATGTTGATGGCTGCTGACTGATCAGGGTGGTGGTTATTGAAGGCTAGGGTGGCTGTGACAATTTCTTAAAACAAGACAACAATGTCTAGGCATGTTGGCTCACAGCTGTAATCCTAGCACTTTGGGAGGTGGAGGCAGGTGGAGAGCTTGAACCCAGGAGTTCAAGATCAGCAAAACGTCATCTCTACAAAAATTTTTTTTAAAAAAACTAGTCAGGCATGATGGTACACATCTGTATGTAATCCCACCTACTCAGGAGACTGAGGCAGGAAGATCACCTGAGCCCAGGAGGCTGAAGCTGCAGTGAGCCATGGTCACGTAATGGACTCCACCCTGGCACCCTGGGAGACAGGGTAAGACTCTGTCTCAAAAAAATAAAAAGACAAAAAAGAAAACAAAAATAAATAAATAAATAAAATTAAATAAAATAAAAAGACAACAATGAACTAGTGAAGTTTGCTGCATCAACTGACTCTTCCTTTCACAAAGTAGCATTTTACCCACAGTAGAACTTCTTTCAAAATTGGAGTTGATACTGTCAAACCCTGCCACTGCTTTATCAACTAAGTTTATGTAATGTACTCTAAATCCTTTGCTGTCATTTCAACAATGTTAACAGCATCTTCACCAGGAGCAGATTGCATCACAAAAAAACACTTTCTTTGCTCATCCCTAAGAATAAGTCTTCATCATTTTAAATTTTATCATGAGATTGCAGGAACTCAGTCACATCTTCAGGCTCCACTTCTAATTTGAGCTCTCTTGCTATTTCCACCACATCTGCAGTTATTTCCTCCACGGAAGTCTTGAACCCCTCAAAGTTATCTATGAAGGCTGGAATCAACTTCTTCCAAATTCCTGTTAATGTTGATATTTTGACCACCTCCCATGAATCACAAATATTCTTAACAGTTATCTAGAATTAGAATCCTTTCCAGAAAGTTTTCAATTGACTTTGCCCAAATGAATCAAAAGAATCACTATCTATGCCAGCCATAGCCTTACAAAATGTATTTCTTAAAATGGTAAGACTTGAAAGTCAAAATTACTCCTTGAGCCATGGGCTGCAGAATAGACACTGTGTTAACAAGCATGAAAACAACATAAATCTCCTTTTACATCTCCATCAGAACTCTTTGATGCACTAATATTATGAAAGGAATCTTTTCTTCATGAGCATGTCTCAACAGTGGGCTTAAAATATTCAGTAAAACATGCTGTAAACAGGTCTGCCATCATCCAGGCTTTGCTGTTCCATTTATAGACACAAGCAAAGTACATTTAGCATAATTCTCAAGGACAATAGAATTTTAAGAACGGTAAATAGACACTGACTTCAATTTAAAGTTCCAGTTACATTAGCCCTCACAAAGGAGTCACCCTGTCTTTTGATGCTTTAAAGCCAGGCATTGACTTCTCTGCAGCCATGAAAGTCCCAGAGAGTATCTTATTCCAATAGAAAGCTGTTTCATCTACACTAAAAATCTTGTTTAGTATAGCCAACTTCATCAATTATCTTAGTGAGATCTTTTCTGGATAACAACAGCATTTGTTGCTTTACTTTGCACTTTTATGTTATCAAAATGGCTTCTTAAACCTCATAAATGAACCTCTAATAGTTTCGAACTTTGCTTTGGCAGCTTCTTCACCTCTCTCAGCATTCACAGAACTGAAGAGAGTTAGAGCCTTGCTCTAAATTAAGCTCCTGCTTAAGGGTATGTTGTGGCTGGTTTGCTCTATCTAAACCGCTCAAAGCTTCTCCATATCGGCCATAAAGCTGTTTTGCTTTCTTAACATTTATGTGTTTACTGAAGTAGCACTTTCAATTTCATCGAAGAACTTTTCCTTTTTATTCACCAGTTGGCTAACTGGTGGAAGAGGCCTAGCTTTCAGCCTATATTGCCTTTCAACATGTCTTTCTAAAATCATTTCTAGGCCAGACATAGTGGCTCATGCCTGTAATCCCAGCACTTTGGGAGGCTGAGGCGGGCAGATCGCAAGGTCAAGAGATTGAGACCATCCTGGCCAACATGGTGAAACTCCGTCTCTACTAAAACTACAAAAATTAGCTGGGCATGGTGGCGCACATCTGTAATCCTAGCTACTCAGGAGGCTGAGGCAGGAGAATCACTTGAACCCAGGAGGTGGAGGTTGCAGTGAGCTGAAATCACTGCACTCCAGCCTGGAAACAGAGTGAGACTCCATCTAAAAAAACAAACAAACAAACAAAAATCATTTCTAGCTTTTGATTTAAAATGAGAGATGTATAACTCTTCCTTAGAGGGCACTGTAGCATTAACTGGCCTAATTTCAATATTGTTGCGCCTCAGGAAATGGGGAAACCCAAGGAGAAGAAGAGAGACGGATTAGCCAGTTGGTGGTACAGCACTCAAAATACAAATTTATTACGTTCACCATCTCATATGGGCATGGTTCATGGCACCCCAAAATGATTATAATTGTTAACACCAAAAATCATCGATTACAGATCACCACAACAGATGTAGTAATAATAAAAAAGTTTGAAATATTTCATTTTTTTTTTCCCACCATCCTCCTGAATTATTTCAAGAATTACCAAAGTGTAGCACAGAGACACTAAATATATACCTGCTACTGGACAAATGGCACTGAAAGACTTACTTGACACAGGGTTACCGTGCACTTGCAATGTGCAAAAACCCAGTATCTATGAAGCGCAATAAAGTGAAGCACAATAAAATTATTACTGTAATAACCAGAAGGAAGGTGAGAAAAAAAGTGAGGGTGGCTGTGAAGTCATTCACATGAAAGACCCATGATAATGGCAGAATTTGGAGAGGTAAGAAAATTGTGAGTCATATGTCTGAGTTCTTTTTTTTTTTTTTTTTTTTTTTTTTTTTGAGGCGGAGTTTCGCTCTTGTTACCCAGGCTGGAGTGCAATGGCGTGATCTCGGCTCACCGCAACCTCCGCCTCCTGGGTTCAGGCAATTCTCCTGCCTCAGCCTCCTGAGTAGCTGGGATTACAGGCACGCACCACCATGCCCAGCTAATTTTTTGTATTTTTAGTAGAGACGGGGTTTCACCTTGTTGACCAGGATGGTCTCGATCTCTTGACCTCGTGATCCACCCGCCTCGGCCTCCCAAAGTGCTGGGATTACAGGCTTGAGCCACCGCGCCCGGCCATGTCTGAGTTCTTAATGAATATGAGAAAGTGCCAATAAGTCACAGCAATCAAGAAATATGTAGGCTGATACTAGGTGAACCACATGCTTTCCACAGGAACTGAGATTTTTTTTGTAAACCTGGAGGAGTAATGGATTATAAACTATGCTTGGGAATAAAGGCAATGCAAACTCTCTCCCCAGGACAATCATAATAGAGGAGAACAAGTTTCCCATGTTTGGAGATGACTATAAGTATCATAGGGGAAGACGGCTGAAAACAGAAGTGTAGATACTATGGAACAGAAGTTAGAAGGCACACAGTGAAGACAACCTGAGAGGATACAGATCATCAGGAAGGACTCACAAGATACCAGTTTAAGACAAGATAAAAGTTTTGTATTTATAATTATCCCTAATAGTAACAAGAATGATGACTACGTTTGCTGGCTTCAAGATTCCAAATGAAACTTTATTTCTTTATTCATAATCTGAGGCCCCAGGCACTGTGAGGACCCTACTAATAGGAAAGGAAACCCAGTGTATTTACTGGAGGCAAATTATAATAAAATCATTGATCAAGGGAAAAAAGGCAAAAAAAAAAAAATTGATCAGATCTGTATATTATATGAGGGGCTGTGATAGGGTGGGGAGGAAAGGAGAAAGTGAGAAACAGACCCACACATTTTTAAAAATTAGTAAGTCTTTCAGACTCCGATTACCCTCCCCATCTTTCAACCCAAACTACTGTTAAAAATGTTGGGAACAAGTATAGGTTAAGGCCCAAGATGGTGGTTCTCAACCATATGTGAAAAAACCACACACACTGTTGCCTCAGGTGTTTGAGCCATTCTCTTCCACAGAACCCTTGAGATCTTCTAGAGATCAGAGGCTGCAGAGGACAGGACAGAATGAGGTTATGAGGGTGTGGAAGCCCTGATGGCACTAGAAATTCAACAAGTTTAACCTGAAAGAGGGGGACAAAAATATATTCCTCTCAGACAAAAAGAAAAGAGTTAATATTGAGTGAAACATACAGGCAAGTTCAGGGACGGAGGGAAAGAAAAATGAGGAATTTCATGTCCCAAGCTTCCCATTTCTCCAGGAAACAGGGGCTAGTCATCTGCTCAAAGTAAAAGGAAAATAACAGATCTGAGTTCTTCAGAAAAATGGGAAAGATCTAAATTAGTCAATGCGGAGATAAGAAAAACCAACAAGAGATAAATAGAAATACCAAACAGTAGTATCAAGGGCCCACTAGGGTGTAAAAGCATGAATCTGTTATCAAGGCCATTAGCAACGTTTTACTTTTTCAAAAGTGTCTGGGAACCACAAGAGTACAGTCAATTTCAAGACACAGTAAGTGCTAAAAGAGTAAACAAAGGATCCCATGGCATCAGAGAAGGGACACTTGGGGCTTCCTGGGGACCTGAAGCGTTGAAAAATAAAACCTAGCTAGGCTTAAAAAGGTGTGTGAATCCTAGAACATATACAAAACACTTTTTGCAAGGGAAAATTTAACCCTCTGTTGATTCAGATATTTTAAGTCGTCCGAGTTTATTGTTCCTCTATGACTATCTGAACATGAAATTAAAACTTCTTATGAAGGAGGTTTTTTGTTTGTTTGTTTGTTTTGTTTTTAATGAAGAAGGCTTTCCTGCGTCTAGTTAGAAGCAGGAGGTGTCAACATCCTAGATTTAACATTTTTTCACCAGAATAAGAAACCATGTGGGTAAACCACAATCACATCGGTTTTATGTTAAATTCATGAAACCAGACAGATTCAACCTTTTATACAGGATTCTATTTCTTGAATGGCAGAACAATTCCAAACAATGACGCTGTATTCTAAATTCCTGTGCTGGTACGATGATCCCTACAGCAGGCGCTCAACAACTGTTGGTGGCTTGACATTTTATTTTACCCAGCCGCCAGAGAGGGCCGGTCTTGACTGTGTCTGAAGATGCAGCACCCAAAGGGAAAAACCACTACATGAACAAGGTCAGGAGAAAATCACAACAGCATCCTTTTGGGTGAAAGGAGGTATTCGGAGGTGAGGAATCAAAGAAACGATCTACCCAAAAACGCCACCGCAAGAGAAAACCCAGCACTAGCGACTTTCCCGTCATTGGTCAACAATAATAAAAATGCTCAGAAAGGCTACCGCCGACGTCACCTGCGCGTGCCAAGCCCGCCCGGGGCCGCAGTCAGCCCTCCAGCGAGGCGCGGCCGGCTCCGTCCCGCCCCTCCCACCGCGCAGGGAAGGTCGCGGCCGCGCCGCCCCGCGAAGGTGCCACTGCGGGCCCGACCCCCAGGACTTGCTTGTCCCTGGAGACCAACCCTAGTGTCCAGGCTCTGCCGGATCCTGTGGGGTTTCAACTCCTATTTCCGAAGGTCCTTTCTCCCCTAACCTCGGCACCCACTCGCCTCGTTTTCCTCCACTTCCTCAGCTTCCACCGCCGACCGGGCAGCCCCAGTTACCTGATAATGTCTCCCAAAGCCCGGTGTTTACACCCCTACCCACTGGAAGCGGAAATTATCACGCCCAACTTCCTACCTGCCTGCCCTGGATGCCTGGTTTCCTAAGAAACGGGTTTGGCCCACCGCGGGGCGTCCGAGCAGTCCACGGAATCGGGCAAAGGAAAGACGACTCTCAGTCTTTCTCCTCCGCCAATCCCCCGTCCGGGACCACAAATCCCAGAAGTCACCGCGGCCGCTCCCACCGCATGACCTTCTGGGATTTGTAGTATTGCCTCTAGCAGCAGGCCTGAGTGATCGCAGCGCAGGAGCGCGGGAAAATGGGAAAATGAGACTGCTCGGGCTGAGGAGCGCCCTGAGAGGGGTCGCCCCCGCGGTGCCCTGCTGCGTCGCGTCCAGTCCGTGGGGAACGAGATGAGGGGAAAACGATGGGGGATTCAAAGGATTAGGATACGCTCCTGCCTCAGAGTGGTTTACAGCATAGCTGATGAGGTCGGCCAGACGCAGCAAGGCCAAACCCGGTTATAAAGGGCTCGAGACTGCGGGGCACGGGAGCCAGTCAGGGAGGCTGGAAGCTGAACCGCAGGCTTCACGTGGGAAGTAACAAGCGAGTTGGACTGGAAAGGCGGAATTACCGCCTGAACGTAGCTGCGGGTCACGTCTTGAAAATAAATGAGCACATCACTCATAGGTGGGTGTTGAACAATGAGAACACATGGACACAGGGAGGGGAGCACTACACACTGGGGTCCGTTGGGGGAAATGGGGGAGGGGTGGGGGGTGGGGAGGTGGGAAGAGATAGCATGGGGAGAAATGACAGATACAGGCGAGGGGACGGAAGGCAGCAAAGCACACTGCCAAGTGTGTACCTATGCAACAATCTTGCATGTTCATCACATGTACCCCAAAACCTAAAATGCAATAAACAAACAAAAAAAAAAAGCTTAAAAAAAAAAAAAAAAGTGAGCACATGTAACAAAGGTAAGCAAGACTGAATTTATCCAACTCTTGCCCAAAAGAAGACCCATTTTTGTAAAGCCATGCTTTCTCAGCCTCCGCGCCATTAACATTTCAAACTGGATAATGCTCTGTTGGGGGACGGGGTGTCCTGTGCATTGTAGGGTGCTTAGCAGTATCTCTGGTCTCTGTCCACGGGCTGTCAGCCATAGCTGTGACAGCCAGTGGTTTCCCCAGTGAAATTTCCCCTGGAAGAAAAATCATCCCCGGCACCCTGCCCCGTTGAGAACCATTGTTATCGACCAACGACGGTCCTGAGGGTCACTGACACCCTTTAAAAGCCAAAATTATTTTCATACGAATAGGAACACGAGATTTGCCCTCTGCACAATGCACGCCCTAAGAAAAATAGGCCGGGTGCAGTGGCTCACGCCTGTGATCCTAGCACTATGGGAGGCCAAGGTTGCAGACCAGCCTGGCCATCATGGTGAAACGCCATCTCTACTAAAAAATAGAAAAATTAGCCGGGCGTGATGGCACGTGCACCTGTAATCCCAGCTACTCAGGAGGCTGAGGCAAGAGAATCACTCGAACCCGGGAGGCGGAGGTTGCAGTGAGCCGAGATTGCGCCACTGCATTCCAGCCTGGACGACAGAGCGAGGCACACTCTCAGAAAAAGGAAAAATGAATGCTGTCACCAGAGAATATCCCTGATGAATTTGTAAAAGTTACTTTATTATAACCACCCTGACACTTCTTAATATTCTTTGTAAAAATTTGGAAGTCCTCACGAAGCACTTCTGCTGCCTACTGAAGTAGGACATATCAAAGAAGAGCTATTGTGAGATGGCATTATAAACTGAAGTAGATAACTTTTTCCTGGAACACAAATTTTACTGAGGTGAGTGACACACTGATTAATTCAGACTTGAGTATTTGACAAGCCTTTCTTGAAAAGGAACAAAGGGAACCTGTAACTTCAAGAAAAACAGGAAAGAAAAAGAGGGAGCGACGGAAAAAGAAAACAATTGACAGTGTTGCCAATGATAAAACTCAAGATTTGGGGCAAAAAATAGATATATGATTTTGGAAAAAAATGGTATTCACCATAATAATCTTGGCAGCTTCCCAATTATCTCCAGAAGTTTCTGTTATCAGTGGAGAGATTATCAGTTGTGACTTTTATTTACATTGTTTCCTTAAATACATCAGTATTTGTGCAGGTTGCATAAGTGAACCAGTAGTATTTGAAAACGATCAATGCATGACTGCGGTAGCCAGCCTCCAAGATGGCATTCACATCCTTATGCACTGCTCCTACACTGTACCAGGGTTGGTCTGTGTTACCTACAGAAGAGGGCAGATGTGACAGTATATCATTTCTGATATTAAAAGACACTTAAGTTGGTGGCAGTGTTTCTTAATCTGTCTAGAGGTTTACATGGCTATGTTCCCTGGATACCTGAAACACTGAAAATTAAGCCAAAAACTTATTTGTGCACTTTTCTGTACGTATCTCTATAAAAGTCTTAAAGAAAGAAAACATGTACCTCCCTAACAAGATGCCCAGAGCAGGACTTGACTTATGGTCACTTGCATAAGCCATTAGTTCATAGTAGCTGTAAGAAGGAAGAGAGTTTGCACAGTGACTAAATGGTGCTTGAAGCTGTGCCCCTAACTAGTAGGGTCTTTGCTAAATCTCTCAAATAACCTAACCCTGATCCCCTCTACTCTGTTAAAGGGTAACTCCCACTACGTTTTTACACTTCACTCACCACTTCTCTACTAACTCTGACTGCTCTATGATTTTGATTCACCTAATATATTTAATACAATGTCTTATGCTGTCTTTTTAAGACAACAGGATCATTTTTCAAAATCCTTTAAATTACCATAATTTATTGGCATTTACAGCAAAGAGAACAGTTTATTTACAATAAATAAAAGAGTTCAATAAATACCCTGATTTTTCAAACAAGACTTTCTTGGACAATTTTTGTACAGCCAAGGTAAATACCTGTAGCAATTTATACGTTCCCTAAAAATACAACCTTATATACTATTCCTAACACTCTTCAGCAGTTTTCTTTTGTTGTCTTAAAGATAACAGTGTCAACAATCTAGCACAAGCCACTACCTAACAATCCCACATGGATACAAAATTTAATACTAATTGAATTCTAACAGTAGTAGGATTCTAACTAAATCAAAGGTTACCAACTGATAAATGATAGCTGCTTTGGCTTTTGTTGTATCTATCTCAACGTTTTGTTCAAGTGGCTGGTTTTTAGATGACATCAAGACTCAGGTGGTCAAGACAAAAATCACAATGTTTGAGAACTTAAATGTGGACAGGCACTATATTTTATATTTCTAGGTACATTGTTCTTTGTTGTTGTTTTGATGGGGTTTTTTTTGAGACACAGTCTCACTCTATCGCCCAGACCAGAGTGCAGTCGCATAATCTCAGCTCACTGCAACCTCCACCTCCCGGGTTCAAGCGGTTCTTGTGCCGCAACCTCTTGAGTAGGTAAGACTACAAGCGCCCACCACCACACCCAGCTAATTTTTGTATTTTCAGTAGAGATGGGGTTTCACCATGTTAGCCAGGCTGGTCTTGAACTCCGGACCTCAGGTGATCCACCCACCTCGGCCTCCTAGAGTGCTGGAATTACAGGTGTGAGCCACTGCGCCCAGCCAGTACATTGTTAAAAAGAAAGGTGCACAGATACTTAGCCTTTTTTTTTTTTTTCACTTTTTCCAGAGGTTCAAAACACGTTAAGTACATTGTAAAATATGATAAATGAAGTTTTTCTTTATTATATCATATTTCTAAATCAAGAAATTGAAATTGTATACTTAAATATACTTTGGTCAAAATATACATGAACCACAAATATTAACTTCTACCTACCAACAAATTACAGTTAAGTTGTATGTGGAATTTCATTCTTGTCAGAACTCACAAGGGAAATAAAATTTCTACTATGGGTGGGAAGATGGGGGAAGGAATTAAGGGAAATAAAATTTCTACTATGGGTGGGAAGATGGGGGAAGGAATTAAGGGAAAAAAAGATTTGGACAACACAGACTTTTCTTTCATTCTGAAGTTCTAAAGGTGCCAGTCAGAACATAGATGCATGGAGTCACTACAACATCAAAAAGAGCAGTGCTGGGCAGAGAAGAGAAGGATTTTGTATAAAATAATCTAAAACTCTGAAAAACTACAAAAGCATCTCAAGAAAAAAATAAAGTAAAAGCAATGGAGTTTATTTCAGTAAAATTATTTTAAATTAGATGTGATATATTAAGCTCCCATATGCCCCATCCTGGTAGAAAAGTTCTTCTCAGTGAGAAATCAATTATTTTAATGGCAAAATTTTTACATATCAGTAAAATCTGTTATATTTAAAACTATGTATACAGTACATTTCTGGCAAAAACAAAAACAAAAACAAAAACAAAAAACCCTTATACATCTTTCAGTTGTCAAGACAAAGTAAAAATATGGTTGCATAAAGTCACAAAAAATATAAATTGCTGAAAAGATAATTTAAAAAAGATTAAAAATCATTTGCATTGACTCCCTTACCACTTCAATATTAGTAAGAATTTGCAAACGACAAAATTTTGTGAAAATTCTGTTGCAATCTTGACACATTTAACCAAAGGTTGTCATTTCAAATACTCTAGCTTAAAAAGAATTTACTGCAATTGTCTGTGCATTTATCATACTATTTATACAAGTGCAATATTTAAATATTTTCAAAATAAAACACAGTAACTAAAAGGAATCACAATAACTTATAGGCAAAGTTTACAAAATTAACAATTTTTAGAAAGTCCTATTTAATTGGTTCCTTTTTTTCTTCCCCTCTCCCCACAACAGCTTATATAGAACCATTACTTAATTCTATATACAAATTTGAAACTTTAAAAATACAATCTTCTGTTAACATCAGGAACATTTGCTGCATTTAGAGACCCTAAATAAAATTAGAATCTCCTAAAGAGAGGGCCACATACAAGTTATAAATACAATTTTGAACTCATATTTAAATGAAACTTCTATTACTTTGTACAGCTTTCAAATTAGAAGTTGAATAGAATAAGCCCTGGACAAAAAGCAGCAAGATTTTTCTTCTTAATTCAGTGCATGATTCTACGAGTGCTTGAGTCAAGTCTACTAGAGTCACCATTTCTGCAAGCTATCATGACACGAGTTCATCATCTGGTTACACAGGTCCTTAACGTACTTGCCAAAAATCATCCTAAAATATGATTCTTAAAATAGAAAAAATATCGCTCTGTTGCAATGGGAAAATGATTAATACAAAAAAAATCAATTTCTTAAAGTTAGCATAAGGCAAATATGAGTGATATAATATTAATTTATTAGCATACACATGATACCAATCGTATCTCAGGTGACTAAATCTTAATTTACATCTATTGTGTGATGCTATTACTAAGAATGAGAAAAAGAAAATATCAGTGTAAATCAGAGACCTTAGGAAGATCAAATATCTTTACACAGTTCCCATAATGCTTATTTTTAAAAAAGTAATTAAAGTCCAAAACAAATGTGACTATTTATCAATAGAATTGATTTGCTCCACATTTTATCAAAATAATAATAATGTTATATCCAACTAAAGAGTTATAACCAAATGTCATATGTAAACTTTAATTGGATCCTGGTTTGAAATAATCAGCTATAAAGAACTTTGGAGGGGCCAGGCGCGGTGGCTCAAGCCTGTAATCCCAGCACTTTGGGAGGCCGAGGCGGGTGGATCACGAGGTCGAGAGATCGAGACCAACCTGGTCAACATGGTGAAACCCCGTCTCTACTAAAAATACAAAAAATTAGCTGGGCATGGTGGCGCGTGCCTATAATCCCAGCTACTCAGGAGGCTGAGGCAGGAGAATTGCCTGAACCCAGGAGGCGGAGGTTGCGGTGAGCCGAGATCGCGCCATTGCACTCCAGCCTGGGTGACAAGAGCGAAACTCCGTCTCAAAAAAAAAAAAAAAAAGAACTTTGGAGGATAACTTCAGACATGTAAATATGGCTTGATTAGATGCTACTGGCAAATTTTTAGTTTCACAGTAGTATTATGGTTTTTTTTAGGAGAATATTATCTTTAGGAGATGCTTGAAGTACTTTCATGGTGATAAGTATGTCTGTAACATCCAAATGGTTCGGGGGGGGGAAAAAAGCATATATACATACACACATACATATATGCATGTATATGCATAACTAGTTGTATCTTTATACAGATATAGGTGTAGAGAATAAAATTACAAAACATTAACAACTGCTGAATCGTAATGGTAGACATACATGTGCTTACCCTACAGTTTTTCAATTTTTCTGTTTTTAAAAATGTTCATAATAAAATTGGGTGGGGGGGGCAGTCATAGCCGAGCACTTAAAGATTTTAAGAGATAGTCTTTCTATGCACTGAATCAATTTCAAAGATACATAATCAAATAACTAGCAATTTGCATATACCCAACACTGACTGACATGATGAGCCTGAGTAATTTAAGAAATTGGGAAAAATAATTTATTTTTTTTACAGTATATGCAACTCAGCTCTTGTAACAAAAAGAACATTTTGTATATAGAACATAGTGGGAAAATTTTAAGATTAAAATTAGTGCTAAAGTATCTGAATATATAAATTCTGTTTTTGGACTTGTAAAGCTAAAATAAAATTTAAATTAGGTTTGATATCTGATATGACTTACCATACACTACGGAATTTTAAAAGGGGATATGGAGGCTGGGTGTGGTGGCTTGCACCTATAATCCCAGCACTTTGGGAGGCTGAAGTGGGTAGATCACAAGGCCAGGAGTTTGAGCAGCCCAGCCAACATAGTAAAACACCCTCTCTACCAAAGATACAAAAAATTAGCCAGGTGTGGTGGCATACACCTGTAGTCCCAGCTACTCAGGAGGCTGAGGCAGGAGAATCACTTGAATCCAGGAGGTGGAGGTTGCAGTGAGCCGAGACCATGCCATTGCACTCCAGCCTGGGTGACAGAGTGAGACTCCATCTCAAAAAAAAAAAGGAGTGGGGATATGGAAGAAGTTATCCAGATTGTTACTAATGCTGGAAGATACCAGCTATTTAAATAGTTAAAGAGCCCAGAAAAAAAAATCACCTATAAAGGTCTCTGAGAATTCTAGGCAAATATTTATTGAATAAATTTATGAAGCAAATATATAACATGTAATAATATATGAAGGCTTTATGTAAATTAATAATTTCAAAGCCCTGTGTACACTAAATATAAAATAGCCAAAAATCAAATGAGCCTGAGAGACCTACATATTATGTTACATACATACTGCATAATGAACAACAAAATGATCTTAATTGATTTCTGCATATTAGGCTTTTAACTATTAATCATGTTCCAATCCCTGTGCAAATTGCATTCCAAAATGCCAGTCCTCAGTTATAATTATGTATAACTTGATTACAAATGGAAGCATTTGGCTACAACTTATTATGCATGCTTATTGCTACCAAAGAAATAAGCAAAGTTTTAGGTTTATTGTGCAAGAATTTTAATTAGATTTGCACACATCTCAAAAAATTCTATTGTATGACTTCCAGGTCTCGGAGTTAGGTCAACAGGAGAAGAGTCAAGTGAGGTCACAGATGAGGTAAGAGAAACTTCTGAGGATTTTCCTTGAGTCTCAGCATCTGAATCACTCCTTTGGCAAGATCGATAGTTGCTAACTGATCCCGATCTCTGTGGAGTAGCAGTCCCTGATTTGGCTTCTGTAATTTCATCTGGGTAAAAAGAATTTCAATTTATTATAGTCTATGACCTTACCCCCAAAATTTTTATAACAATATTGAATTTGCTTCGTTAAGTGGGGCTACTGGCCAGCTATCAAGAGTATATTTATTCTAAATACCTTCTAAAATAGAGGCAATGAGCCTGTATTACACCATTCACCTTTTTTACATACAGTATGTATTCTCAAGAAGGCTAATCAAGGTTGGGCACAGTAGAGTTACTCAACAGTTGCAATCCAAGGTTAAGAAACTCAACAAACTAACAATCTAAGGATTAATAAATATTATTCTATAGCAAAAAAAAAATCCCTCTATATTAAAATCATAGAATCAATGCACTTAAAATTTGGAAGGTATACTGGAAAACATCTCATCCAACCCCTCACTTTGCTGATGAGAAAACAAATCCAGAGAAGTGATTTACCCAAGGTAACAAATGAACAAAACGGTTAGTCTAGAACCCAACTCTCCTCTCAGCTCAGTGCTTTTTACTTTCCACTTTCCCTTCATATTTCATTTAGCATTTCATTAAAAAGCAACAATTCCAATGAATAAAAATCAAAGAAAAACTAAGGTTGGGAACACAATACAAAAACAAAAATGGTATTCAGTTGGTAAACTGAAGTACTAGTAAATCTAAGGTTGCAAATTTGATCCAAATATGAGAAAAATAAAACCCATTCCATATTTCAGACTGCATTAGTATATGTTAGCAGATCCATACTGTAAGAGACCTAAAGATAACCAGACAAACCGGTTTGGCCAACATATCATGGCTCAAACCTGTGTCTTTCTGCTATTATGTGTGAACTATCTTTGAATTTATAAAGAAGAAAAAAATTTATAGGTGAACCTTATCTAATAATTCTATGCAACCTTCCATAAGCAAAGGTGATACTGTATTTTTTAAATAAATATTTTGTAGAGGCCGGGCGCGGTGTCTCAAGCCTGTAATCCCAGCACTTTGGGAGGCCGAGGTGGGTGGATCACAAGGTCAAGAGATTGAGACCATCCTGGTCAACATGGTGAAACCCTGTCTCTACTAAAAATACAAAAAATTAGCTGGACATGGTGGTGCGTGCCTGTAATCCCAGCTACTCAGGAGGCTGAGGCAGGAGAATTGCCTGAACCCAGGAGGCAGAGGTTGCGGTGAATCAAGATCGCGCCATTGCACTCCAGCCTGGGTAACAAGAGCGAAACTCTGTCTCAAAAAAATATATATTTTGTAGAGACACAGTGTCACTATGTTGCTAAGGCTGGTCTCAAATTCCTGGGGTCAAGCGATCCTCCCCCCTTGGCCTCTCAAAGTGCTGGACTGTTACAGGCATGAGCCACCACACCTACGCTCAACACCGTATCTCAATGTAATTGAAATGGCCAATGCTGAAAACTTATTTAATAATAAAAACTCATAGGAAAGTCAGTATTTATTTCTAAATAAAACATTTTCTCTTTCCAAAATGAACCACACCAAAAAAACAGATGCAGCAGAAAACTATCACCTTACAATCAGACTGCACCTAGCTTTAAGGATTCTACAAGATGATAATCTTAAAAGGACAGCATGCTATTAAGATTAAAAAAATAATAAGATTCATAAATGTTAATACTGCAAAGTCACAAGAAGTCACATTTTCTATTCCTTTGCAACTGAATTACTAGGAACAAGTCAAGAAGTCTCAAAAGAATCAAAGAACAAAATACCAAGTTAGTAACAAGGTCTAATGTACATTGTTTGTGTGATGTACATACCATCAATACTACGGAAATCCAGTAGGTAAGTTCTACTATCCACTTGGTATAACTGTAGACTCATTTTGGAGTAGGTGCTTGTCACAGGATTCTTCCGTCGTACACGCAAATAATAGGGGTTTACAACCTAGCACATAGTATAACAAAAACAAAGTCAAAAGTAGTTCTATAAAACATTTTATAGACTATGGGTTTGCCAAATATGCTAATAATCAAAATGTTACTTCTTTCTTACCTTCCATTCATAATCCAATTGTTTAATTGCTCTACAGACTTCTGCCATAATATCATTTGGTCGACTTTGGCTTCTAATTCCTAAATGCCATTTTGCTTTCCTTACACCTTGGTGTTTGGATTTCTGTGGATTTAATTCATCAAGGGTATGGCGTGCCCTTGGTGTTTCAGCAACCAAGAATGGTACTCTTTCAGGATGGGGACGAGTCAGGTGGTGATCATCAAGAAAAGAATCAGGTGGGCTTGTCGCCAAATAGAAATCTTTGGCTTCATTCATTATTCTCCTGTTATCTATTATGAGATGGTAAGCAACTGCCAAAGGGTCCTGGTGATTTCTGTTATAAAGACAGCTGAGAACTTCCTCTTCTGAGCACTCAAACTTTTCACATACTTCTTTTAAGGCTTCATCATCAATCATGGTTGAACTATATGATGGGTCCTCAGGAAAGAGATATTTTGGAAGGTCCTGTTTAAACCATTCATGTTCCCTGAGAGAAAATGGCAGGATTAGGAGAAGGATTTTGAATAGAGCAGAGACTGAGAGTAATAGTTTGGGGAATTTAGAATATGAATTCATATATATTTATACCCATACTACATTATTATCACTTTTTCCACTGAAATTTTTCTCTTCTGCTCACACTTCATCATGTATGTTGAGGGAAATGCTCCAGTTTTCCTCCAGTTTTAAGAGGCAGAATGTGCCAGGCACGGTGGCTCACGCCTGTAATCCCAGCACTTTGGGAGGCCGAGGCGGGCGGATCATGAGGTCAGGAGTTCAAGAGCAGCCTGGTCAACATAGTGAAACCCTGTCTCAACTAAAAATACAAAAATTAGCCAGGTATGCTGGTGCATGTCTGTAATACCAGCTACTCGGGAGGCTAAGGCAGGAGAATCACTTGAACCTGACAGACAGAGGTTGCAGCGAGCCAAGATTGCACCACTGCACTCCATCCTGGGCCATAAAGCGAGACTCCAATGGGGGGAAAAAGTTATGAGACAAGTGACAATGACAAAGAACAGCTTATTTCCAGCTCAGAAAGATAACATATTAAGTAGTTTCATTATAGTACTCTTTTAATATAATGTTAAGTGCAAATAATATAGCAAGAAAAATAGTAGACAACTATTGAGTACTTACTGTGTGCTAAGTTTTATGCTAAACACTTCATATACATTATCTCCCCTTATTCTCAAAACAATTATATGAAGATAATAGTATCTCCTTGTTTTAAATGAAGGAACTGAGGTTAAAAAAAAAAAGCATCAAACAACATGCTCAAGGTCATAAAGACAGTAAGTGACAGAACCAGGATTGCAACTCAGTTCTATGTGACTGGAAAGGCCATGCCCTGAATGATTTCCTATTTTGATTCCCTAACTTCATATATTTAAGAATACGTTTGACCTGCACTATGTCAAACATTATGCTAAAACTAAAACTAAAAAAAAAAATAAAAATTAAAAAAAAAAATCCAAAGAGGAAAAAATAAAAACAAAAGAACGATTGTTATCTTCTGGGTCATGGGATTAAAGGTAATTTTGATTCTCTTCTCTCTCTTTTTTTTTTTTTTTTTTTTGATGTTTTTCTAAGTCTTTTTCAATTGTCATATATTACATTTTAATTGGAAGAAAACACATAAAACACAAGCAAAAACATTTGTTACCTAGGTAGTTTTAAAATATAAATTTTAGAGAATAATGTATCCTTTCCCTTTGGTGGTATAATCATGCCCTGACATGCATGGTCTCTTTTTTAGCTAGTCTAAAACATGCGTAGTAAGTGGAGAGTAATCAAGCTTCAAGTTCTACATATAATCTTTCCTTCTTCTTCATTACACTCATGCTGCTTTCGTATTTACTATTTCTAGATCCATATCGGATTTCTTTCTTCCTTCTCAGATAAATGTGCAGTCTAGCCATTAGAAGACCAAAGACAGCAAAATTTCCATGTGGGGGAAAAAAAAAGAAGAAGCAAAGCTTGCAGTAAAATTGTTTTAAGTCTTCATCAGAAATGGCTCACCCAAATTTGAGAAGAAAATTTGTCATCATTTTTGTCTTATTTAAACTACTAGGTTGAACCAGATGAAACTGGTAATACTGACTTTTACCTACAAAACAGGAATTTTGCATATAATTGAATGTATACTACTTGGAAAAACATGTCAATTAAATTTACAATTTTCTCATTCCTTGGGATTAAAAAAAAAAGAAAAAAAAATACAATAATTCATGAGATAGGAAATCAAATAGCAAACCACAAATTTACTACTGAAAAGTATTAACCTAACACCAGGCATAGTGGCTCACACCTGTAATCCCAACACTGGGAGGAAAAGGTATGAGGATTACTTGAGGCCAGGAGTTCAAGACCAGCCTGGACAAAAATAGTGAGACCTTATCACTACAAAAAAAAAAAAAAAAAAAAGGCAGTTAGGCATGGTGGTAGATGCCGTAGTCCCAGCTACTAGGGAGGCTAAGATGGAAGGATCACTTGGCCCAGCAGTTACAGGCTACAGTGAGCTATGATCACACCACTGCACTCCAGCCTCGGTGACAGAGCAAGACCTTGTGTCAAGAAAAAAATTTTTTAAAAAATGAAAGATGCACGCGCACACACACACACACACACACACACACACACACACACGGCCTCGCTATGTTATCTAGGCTGGTCTCAAACTCTTGAGCTCACATGATCCTCTTCCCTCAGTCTCACAAAGTGCTCAGATTACGGGTGTGAGCCACTGCACCAGCCTTTCATTAGCTTGTTAATTTAAAAAGTAATATAATGTTCACTGTTATTATATTGACATGTAATATTATAATATTTTAAATGTTACACATTATATGTAATTTCAAAACAAAAATGTGTAAGTAAAAAGTGAAAGCCCCTCCCTCTTACTAATCTTACTTCCCTAAGGTAACCAGTTTACTCTGTATTTTTAATACCAAAATAAAATGTGTCTATACAGTCCATTTTTTCACATAAAAACAGGATTACATTATATATTCTGTTCTGCAACTTTTTTTTCACTTAACTTTTATCATGGATACTACTAGATCTGATAACTTCCAAATTGCTTTATTACCTGATATCTTTGATTGTGGCCCTCTTCATGGGATCCACCTGCAGCATATGTTTCAAAAGGCTAATCACAGAAGGATTTAAATATTGAGGGGTATAGAAGATCCCATCACATATCTTCTTAAAAAGAGTTGGCACATGGTCATCATCAAATGGAAGGGTTCCACATAATAAAGCATAGAGGATAACCCCACTGCTCCATATATCTACCTCTGGGCCCGCATACAACCTGTAACAGGAAATATAACAATTGGATTAAAAATCATTTTAACCTAAAATCTGTTCATCAAAATTTCAAATATGGATATTTCATAAAGAATTCATAAGCAGAATTTGGTTTCTATAGCCACTACTACATGCTACACTTAATTCTAACAGTAGTTATCTCTGAAAACAAAAGTCAAGTAGTTTTGTAAATTACACACCATGGCTAATATTCTGTTCTTAGTATTTACTAGGGCCAAAACCTGAACAAACATACCACCATTCAATTTAAAACCATTGGTTTTGGTACAGAGAAGAGATTAAGTGGTATTTCATTAACTGAGAATATTCTTTAGTAATGGACTCTGAACCCACAATCCCAGTAACCCAAGACCCCTCACACCAACCAAGGTGAAAGGATCGTGAGGCTGTGGAATAAAGCCAAGTGGTTCACAGAAGATTTTTTAAATCCTACTTGCAGTGCACTCTAGTCAACTACCTTAACTAGCTGCAGACTAGTTAGACCACCCATTCAAAATCTAGATTCAGGAAAAGGATCTCTGTAAATTTACGTATTGCTGAACTGATCACTAAATATTCTTTTTAAAGTAAAAGTTATCGTGCTGGGTGGCTCACAGGTGTAATCCCAGCACTTTGGGAGGCTGAGGTGGGCAGAACACAAGGTCAAGAGATCAAGACCATCCTGGCCAACATAGTAAAACACCATCTCTACCAAAAAAAAAATACAAAAATTAACTGGGCATAGTGGCGCGTGCCTGTAGTCCCAGATACACAGGAGGCTGAGGCAGGAGAATCACATGAACCCAGGAGGCAGAGGTTGCAGTGAGCTGAAATCTTGACACTGCACTCCAGCCTGGTGACAACGAGAAGCGAGAGTCCATCTCAAAAAAAAAAAAAAAGAAAAGAAAGTAAAAGTTCTCATATACTGAGAGCTTGAAGACCTTATCCAAATAAGAAAAATTAATTTCAGTAATAACTCACTGCATATATATGCAGTTATAACATTTTTTATTTATTTAAATAACACGTTCCCCAGTCTCCATGTCCTGAATTATTTTCTACCTAAAAGAATTAAGATAGACAATAAAATTTTTTTAAATTTTTAAAATAATTTTTGACATTAATATTTTCAAAAAGATGAAACTTGACAAATCTAAAATTAGGTACGCCTGTCTCACTCATAGCCATATTTTTACACAAACCTCATTTCTTTGGGCAGTCTAGGCCAACAAGCTTATGAAAACAGAAAGAAAATACTACAGTAGTTCTGCATTCTGAATTAATCAAGATGCTGAATACTCATACAAATAAGCATGGTTTGGATAAAATGTTATTAAAGTTCATTATAAAAACTAGCAAACTTGAGCTTCTGTTTTCAATTTCAGTAGTACAGTGAAAAACAAAGAGTTACTCTTAAAAATGTTAAATTCTCCTATTTTACCAACTATTCAAAAAGCTATACTATACAAATATCTTCATGTTCTGAATGATGGTGGTTAGTAAATTGAGTGTTTAAAATTCTTATAATATTGCAGTTTTTAAAAGATTTAAAGAACAAAGATTCATCATAAATGAAGGCTAAAGATTACTTCAATCCAATTCCCCAAGACATTTTATCATGAAACATAAAGATACTACAAAATGCCATCTATGTAAAAAATTAAAGCTACGTATTACATGTTTAATTTTTCCTCTAAGTAAATAGTAAACCACTTCTACCTACTAGATATTTCTGTATTATTCAAGTTTCCAGGGTCTTACCTACCTTTTAAACATCCTAGCTTTAAACTTTCCATTTCTTCTACCAGGGAAAAAACGTAATGTACTGTCTTCTAACAACTCTAACATAAAGTTGACTTGTAGTCCTTAACCCTCATCAGCTTATAACGTGGTTAAGAAAAGAATAAGCCTTATATTTCTCTCCTTTCATTATAATTAAATATGAACTATAGACTAACAAAATCTAGGAGAAAAAGACAATTTCAAATGTATTGAGGGTGGCAGGGTATCAAATACTACCTTCCTGAAATTACTTCTGGTGCAGCATAGTTGGGTGAGCCACAACTTGTTCTTAAAAATTCACCATCTGACATCATGTTTGAAAGACCTGAAAGTGCACAAAATCAGCTACTCAAAAGATTTCCCAAAGACAAAAATTAAAACCCCATTAAACAATAAAATTGAGTTTACATGATAAATCATCATTTTGTTATTTGCTTCAACAAAATCCTATGGTCTACTGTAGCAAAATATTCTGCCATTATGCTCTAAAATGTATAATCTATTTCAACATTTAAAGTTAATGTATTGTTAGAGTGTAATGCAAAGATATTAAGCTATTGGTTATTTTGCTTATTAGAAAAAATGTAGCATGTTTAAGGTTTTTTGTTTATTTTATTTATTTATTTATTTATTTATTTATTTATTTATTTATTTATTGAGACAGAGTCTTGCTCTGTCTCCCAGGCTAGAATGCAATGGCACGCTCTCAGCTCACTGCAACCTTCACCTCTTAGGTTCAAGGGATTCTCCTGCCTCAGCCTCCCGAGTAGCTGGGACCACAGGCACACACCACCACGCCCAGCTAATTTTTGTATTTTTAGTAGAGATGGGGTTTCACCATGTTGGTCAGGCTGGACTTGAACCTGACCTCATGATCCGCCCTCTTCACCCTCCCAAAGTGCTAAGATTACAGAGCTGAGCCATCACAGCCAGACTTAAATTTTATTAATACAGAAATTACTAGGGAAAATAATCTGTAACAGATGAATAGAAGGATTAAAATTCAAAGTTCCTATTAAGCCTGTTCTGATTCCTTAAAAAAAATAATTTTGAATTTCAAAGTTCCCTCATAGTTTTACTCCAAAAAGAAACCGCTGCTCCCTCAAAAACACACCCTATAAAAATAATCAACTCAGGAATAAGAAATTCGAATAATTTAGCCAGTCACTTAAAAAAAAAAAACAAAAAAAACACCAAAACAACCAGCTCAGGTTTAACTGGCATTTTTCAGTTAATCTCTAAACATTTAAATAGATAAGACATAGAGATATAGATGTAGTCAAAACTGAGGAAAATATTTAAAAGAATGTTCTCTGGGCCAACCATGGTGGCTCACACCTGTAATCCTAGCATGTTGGGAGGCTTAGACAGGTGGATCACTTGAGCTCAGGAGTTCAAGACCAGGCTGGCCAACATGGTGAAATCCCATCTCTACCAAAAATCAAAAAAAACTTAGCTGGGTATGGTGGCACACATCTGTGGTCCCTGCTACTAGGGAGGTGGAGGTGGGAGACTCACTTGAGCCTGGGGGGCAGAAAGTGCAGTGAGCAGAGATCATACCACTGCACTCCAGCCTGGGTGACAGAGTGAGACTCTGTCTCAAAAAAGAAGTTATCTGAATTGAACTAAAACCAACCTAAATAAAAGAATTACAGATTCCTTTTGCTCTTAGATTTGGTAAGGTCAATGGCAATTCATATAGAAAACATAGAACAAATAAATTTTTTCTTTTTTTTTAGACGGAGTCTCACTCTCACCCAGGCTGGAGTACAGTGGTTGGATCTCAGCTCACTGCGCAACCTCCGCCTCGTGGATTCCAGCGATTCTCCTGCATCAGCCTCCCAGGTAGCTGGGACTACAGGTGCAGGCCACCATGCCTGGCTAATTTTATATTTTTAATACAGATGGGGTTTCACCATGTTGGCCAAGCTAGTCTCAAACTACTGACCTCAGGTGATCCGCCCACCTTAGCCTCCCACAGTGCCAGGATTACAGGCGTGAGCCACTGTGCCCAGCCAAAATAAATTCATTTTTAACAATCAAAATGTTCTTCAAACAAATTATAGTTTCCTATCACTTAAAACATTTAAAAATAATTTTAAATAAAAATTTGTTTTAATTAAAAAATTGTTTCAAATAATTTTAAATAATTAAAATTCACACAGTTCACCTTCTGGCTTTCAAAGTTTTAAATAATTCCACTCACTTTTCTTCTTTTCCATACTTGATTTTCTGAACATACTAGAAATAAGGCTGCTACCTTCTCCTTCACAAATACTCTCTTTTTGAATGGTCTCTCTAATGCTACCAACTTAAGTTGTTTAAAATTAAATTTTAAAGATATTTTAAGAGCCAGGTGCAGTGGTGTACATCTGTAATCTCAATACTTTGGGAAGCTGTGGCAGAAGGATCACTTGAGGCCAGGAGTTCAAAAGCAGCCTTGACAACATAGAGAGAACCCATCTGTACAAAAATATAAAACTTAGCCTGACAAAGTAGTGCACCCCTGCAGTCCCAGTTACTCAGGAGGCTAAGGCAGGAGGGTTATCTGGCCCAGTAGTTTGGGGCTGCAGTGAGCTATGATCACATCGCTGCCCTCCAGCCTGGGTGACAAAGTGAAACCCTGTCTCTATAAAATAATAATAATAATAGAGACATTTAAAGCTAAGAAAAGATGATTTCTTAGCATTTCTTCTTTCTGTATGTTCATAGACAAAATAGGATACTTTGATATACTCAGTCTATTACTTTATGTAATTTTTTACAGTTATCTGAACAATTCTACATAGGTTTATTGAAAATAAGGACATCAGAAATGAACATAAGAAACAATAAAATTATCCTCACCAAAATCAGCTATCTTTGCATTCATGTGTGCATCAAGCAGGACATTTTCAGGTTTCAAATCTCTATGGACCACCATATGCCTGTGACAATAATCCACACCAGAAAGGATCTGTTGGAACAGACGTCGACTTTCTTTTTCATCCAGCTAAGAAAAGTAGAGATGCATTTTAAAGGTGTGTCTTTCAAAGTAAATTGTCCAATCTATAATTCTCCAAGCTATAGAATTGTCAAAATACATGAAAATCTTCCAAATCAACTTCACTATGAGATACTTTTGACATGGGGATGAGACATTTGCAGCACCAAGCAGAAATTCTAAGACGGTCTTGGAATCCAAATCAGTAATTCAAGTTTCTAATATTATCATCTGTATATGACTACATTAGCTTGCCTTCCTGTATATCTCATCAGTTACTTCAAATAATTTCAACATCTACTTGAAACTTGACATATTTTCTCTTACAAGGTAGAAATGCTTAATCTTTCATTCTTTTAACAAACATTTACTGAATACCTTCAATGTGCTATACATTGTTTTAGAAATTCATTACACAGCAATAAATAAAACAAAGGCCCTATTCTAACTGGCAAAAATAGACGAATAAATATAGTCTGAAGAAGTGATACTGTTTTGAAGAAAAAGCAAAATACGGGTATAATAAGTAAAGTTGGGGTGGGGGATACTATTTTAGACCATTAGGATGTAACATTTAAGCACTGTTCATAAACTAGCAAGCAACTATGTTGTTTTATGTCCTAAAGTATAAGACATTTTAACAAGAAATACCTTAATTCATTTAATAAAATATCGTAACATTTTATCTTTAATATGCTTGCTGGAAAAAAAAAAATCGTATGTAGAAACTACATTTTTTGGTTTTAAATTTTTTTAATTTATCTGTATTTTGAGACCAGATCTCGCTCTGTCAGCCAGGCGGGAGTGCAGTGGTGCCATCACGGCTCCCTGCAGCCTAGACCTCCCTGGACTCTAGGGATCCTACCAACCTAGCCTCCTGAGTAGTTGGGACCACAGGTGCATGCCACCATGCCTGGCTAATTTTTGTAGTTTTGACAGAGACAGGACTTTGCCATGTTGCCCAGGCTAGTCTCAAACACCTGAGGCTCAGGCGATCTACCCACTTCAGCATCCCAAAGTGCTGGGATTACAGGTATGTGCCACTGTACCCAGCCTGAACTATGATTTTTTAAACTTCTCTATGTATCCATATATTCTTATCACTTTTTTCAACATAAGTAACAACCATTATTTGGACATGCCTGCTCCCAAGAAGTCATTTTTAATAAATAAGCTACTAATCCTCTAGGCAAAGGACTCAAACATGCAATTCTCTAACACAGCTCACAAATTAGCATTCTAATACCAGACTTACATCTTAAAGGGCATGGACAGTCTGAGAGAAGAGACAAATCAGTAATTTATTTTGAAATAAAAAAGTATTATAAGATACTGTTCCTCTAGAAAAATACTAATCCCTTAGCAATCTAATACTTTTATTTCTAGAAGATTTGTAGGGTTATGGGGAAAAACGGTATCTGTTCAAATATGAAAAAATAAGAGAAAACTTGATTAAACAAAATATAAAAAGTAAAGTAACTAGACAGGCTACAAAAATAAAAGTTATACTATATTCATAACAAATACAATTACAAAGGATGGAAAAAGGGATGTCTATAAAGGAAGATCAGAAAAGTCAAAATACATTTCCCATTAAACATAGCAGATTAAATCTTTTGTCTCTAATTCTTGAAACATCACTAAAATGGCATCAGCAATAAAAGAGGCATATAAAGACAAAAAGAACAAAAGATACAACAGTAATCAAGAGCAGTCACCAAGGAGGACAACAGATAAACAGTAATAAAGACTAAACCTACAAGAAAAAGCTGAAACCTAAGCCTACAGGGATAGAAGCCAGTAAGAAATAAATGTCTGCACAAAAAGCCCTGGGAAGCCTTAGAAATTAGAAACATAGGGGGCTGAAAACAGGACAAGTACTTGAAGTAAGAAGCTTTTAAACTCACCCATACTGGGGAATAAGACCTATAATTTCCTCTAGTAAGGCTGAACCAGCTCTGCTCTCAAGGACACTAAGGCAGGGATAAGGCATGCTGGGAAATCATGGGGGCTAAGAGAAGTCAACATACTAACTACTGAGACTTGTACCTCTTTTCCCACACTCAGCTCCTGGAGCACTAGCAGCTAAGCTAAGGATTTTAAGGATATGGGAAGGTTTCTTCTGAAATATATGATACGAGAAAACATATTTGCTATTATTAGCATTTGATGTACAGTAATAAAATGACAAGTCCCTATCTATTCAAGACATAGGAAAACCTAGCAATTAATAAGTTCCACCCACATGAGCCTGGCATTTAGTATCTTATTCTTAAATATTAAGTGGACAGCCAAGAATCACCAAATTTCTGAAAAAGGGCCATGCATCAAAGACAAAAATGAACAGAAAAAAATGAGGAGCAGGAGCAGAGAGCACAGAAGGTACAGAACAAGATGGAACAGAGGAAAATTTTTTTTAAATATCATCCTCAGACTAGGTTATTACATCTGTGGAGCAAGTAACAGCAGACTAAAGAAATGAAAATTTCAGAAAATAAAGTTTTGAAATAGAAAATATGGTCACTGAAATTTTAATATTCAACTGGTAAAACTGAAGAAATAAATACCCACAAGGTAAAACCACAAAATAAAAAACAGAGAAGATAAGGAAAAAGTATATCAGTTGTTTCCAATTTCTCCAGACAGAACTTTTTTTTTTTTTTTTTTTGGTGAGGAAAAACGGGAGTAAAGAAGGGGAGTACCTGAAATAGAAATTAATCATGTTAAGAAATAGTAAAATCAAAATTAACTTAGTTAATAAAGTTTGATTCTGTTGAAAGTAAACAGACATGCTATATAGAACAAATGAATGAGTAATATAAGTAACTTAAGACTGGGAGTGAGAAAAGCTTTCTTTTCAGGGCTAGATACAGCTCTCCCACAAAGGGGCTTTTGCATACCACATAACCTCGGTATGAGAAAAAGTATGGGCAGAGGGCAGTGTTGAGTTTTCTATCTGTAACTTAAGGCAGTGTTCAAAATGTCTTCTAAAGTTCCTTCCAGCTCTAAGTTCTTTATATCTAATTCCTACCTCCTTCATGGAGCCTGTTCTTACTACTCCAGGTACATCAGATTTCTGAAACCAAAAAAATGAATGCAATTTAAATGTGGCTAGGATTGACTAGCAAGGCCTCGATTGTTAATTAATAATATATTTTTGTAAGTTTTAATTACATTAAGATACATATTCAAAGTATTTGTATACCCTGGAAGCATAAGTCTGAGGATTATGAGTTCTGGGATCTCAAGCCAATTCTGTCATTAATAAATCACGTTACCATGAGCAAACACACAAACCATGAGGCTCAGTATCCATAGCTGCATAAACAGGCTGAGGTAACCTTTAAGATCCTTTCTAGTTCTAAATGGCTTATGATTCTAAACAAATATATGACTAAGGGAACTGGTTATTAAATAGACCTCTTAAAATTGCTTGCTGACATTTTGATGCTAGTAAAGGATAAAGGAGAGTTACAAAATACATACAGAATTAAATCGGAACAGCTTACCCTTCCATTCTTACAGATATAATCAAATAGCTCTCCTCCTGAGACATATTCCATCACCATGAAAATATCAGATGGTGTACTGATGACCTGGTACCTGGTGAGAGAAAAAATTATCTACGAATATTAAAACAAGTATATTCATTCATTCAAAAAATATTTACTAAACACCTATAGTATACCAGGTACCATGCTAGGAGCTAGGAAAACTGCAGAGAAAAAAACTGCTCTCATGGAGTTCATGTTCCAGAAGCCAGGAAACAGACACTAAATAAATTAGTAGTATCTCAGGTGGTACAACATGCTATGAAGAAAAATAAAGCAAACTAAGGGGAATGTTTTTTATACAGAGTGCTCAAGGAAGCCTTCTAATAAAGTAACATTTGAGCTGATCCTAAAAGAAGAATGGAAACAAATTATTCCATTATCTAGGAGGAAGGTGAACCAGGGGGAGAGAACAGTAGCTACAAATGTCCCCAGGTAGAAGCCTGCTTGCATGTTCGAGGAATAGTAAGGGCACAGCGGAGTAAGCTGGGAGAGAAAAATAGCATGTAGAATCAGAGGTGTTAACTGCAGGCCAGAGGACACAGAATTTTATAAGCCATGATAAGGCTTTGGCTTTTACTCTAAGGAAGATGAAAAAAGCTATCGTTGTCTCAGAAAGGGGCTAAAAAGAAAAAAATTAAGGAAAAAAAAAGAAAAAAGCTATTGTATATTTTAAGCAGTCATGTGATCTGGCCTATTAAAAGGAAAACTATGGCAGCAGTGTAAAGAATTAACTGTCGACAGTAAAGGTAGATATAGGAGGTTACTTCAGGATTTCATAAGACAGATGAAGGTGGCTGAGACTAGGTTGACAGTGATAAAGGAACTGAGAAGCAGTCACATGCTAGCTTGATTTTGAAGGAAGAGATGTGAAAGAAACAGGGAAGTTAAAAAAGGTTCCTAAGTTTTGGCCCTGGGTAAACTGGCTGTTAGCTGAGATGGTGAAAACTGTGGGAAGAGCAGGTTTGGAAGAGTAATAGTTCATTTTGGGCCCAGTGGAGTTTTAAATGCCTTGCGGACACCCAAATGGAAATGTAAAGTCAGTAGTGAGCTTTTTGAGTCTGGAGTAAGAAGAGATCTTAAAGCAAGAGATGTACATTTAGGAGTGGTAAGCATATCGATAGTATTTAAAACTGTAGAACCTCAACAAATGAGAAGAGGTGAGAGTGAAACAAATTTGAGTCAGCCAGTTCAGCAGCTTTAAATTATTGCCTGCATAACAAAGCAGAAGCTGAGCAGGAAATATGTTATTTATAGACTCTACAACCGACAACTATAAAACAACAGTAAGGTTACTGCTCTTTTGAAATATTAGATTCCTAAAATTCTGTTATCTGTATGGTCAGGTATAAGCAGGACAGGGAAAAACCCTTTCTACTGCATTCTCGCTAGTGAGGCTAACTGCATGATGTGGGCATTTGGAGGTCAAGAGTTTTTACTAGCAGATCATTGTTGATTTTACAGTAATGGGGCGCCAAACATTATTATCAAAAGGGCATCTTTCCAGAAGACAGGAAAGAATGAGAAGATAATAGCTGATAAGCACAAGGGCAAAACATGAATACAGGATTAAATGATGATCAGGAGGGTTAGAAGAATACATGCAAAGGAAGAAACTTTGGTTTTTTTTGAGACAGAGTTTTGCTCTTGTTGCCCAGGCTGGAGTGCAAAGGCGTGATCTCAGCTCACTGCAACCTCTACCTCCCAGGTTCAAGCAATTCTCCTGCCTCAGCCTCCTGAGCAGCTGGGATTACAGGTGCCCACCACCATACACAGCTAATTTTTATATTTTTAGTAGAGATGGGGTTTCACCATGTTGGCCAGGCTAATCTCGAACTCCTGACCCCAGGTGATCTGCCCACCTCGGCCTCCCAAAATGCTGGGATTGCAGGCATGAGCCACTGCACGCGGCCTAGGAAGAAACTTTTCAAAACCCTCATGAAACAAAAAAAAATGTCAGTCATTTGTCTTGCTTGTCACATTAAGTAGGTCAACAAAAAAGATGAAAAGATGACTGGTCTACATTTAATATAAACAGAGCTTACAGTTTAATTATATGAGGATGCCTGAAAAGCTTGAGGTTCTGAATTTCTCTGCGGATTTTTCCCACCACATCAAGGCTCCGAATCTTCTGTCGATTGAGTATCTTCACAGCCACTTTATGCCCAGTTAATTCATGTTTGCCAACTGTAAAGGAAGTAATTTTAATAAATTAGTACTAAGTATGATTAATAATATATTTACACATATTCTGGCCGGATACGGTGGCTCACACCTGTAATCCCAGCACTTTGGGAGGCCCAGGTGGTGGATTACTTGAGGTCAGGAGTTCAAATCCAGAGCTGGCCAACATGTCAAAACCCCATCTCTACTAAAAATTACAAAAATTAGCTGCCTGTATTCCCAACTACTTGGGAGACAAGGCAGGAGAACCTGAACCCAGGAGGCAGAGGCTGCAGTAAGCCCAGATTGCACCACTGCACTCCAGCCTGGGTGATGATTGAGGCTCTGTCACAAAAAAAAAAAAAAGTTAAAAAAAAAAAATGCCAGTAATCCCAGCTACTTGGGAAGTGAGGCAGGAGAATCACTTCAACCCGGGAGGCAGAGGTTGCAGTGAGCCCAAATCGCACCACCAGGCAATGACTGAGACTGTCTCAAAAAAATAAAAGTAATAATATATTTAGACATATTCTAAGAGTAGTTATTTAGCATTCTCAGAAAATAGCTAAGCAAATGTAAGTTCTTTTCTCTTTTGCTGGATTCACCCCCTTAAATGTTCAGATGTTTAAGAGTGATTACATAAGAGAATACATAAGAAATTGGTAACAGTGGTTTCTTCCAGAAAAGAAAGCTAGAAGACTAAAGCAAGCAACCAAGAAAGGAGACTTCTTTTTTGCTGCAGACCTTTCTGAACTTTCAAATTCTTTTAAGTTTTCACCTTTTAAAGTGCCAGACATATAGACTGAAATTTTTATTTCAGTATCATTTCTATGGATTTTAAAACATATGGAAATTGGTGCAACCAGTATAATATAGTCAGATACAGAACCTTTCCATCATTCCAAAAGATTCTCTTGGCCGGGCGCGGTGGCTCAAGCCTGTAATCCCAGCACTTTGGGAGGCCGAGGCAGGTGGATCACGAGGTCAAGAAATCGAGACCATCCTGGTCAACACGGTGAAACCCCGTCTCTACTAAAAATACAAAAAAGTAGCTGGGCATGGTGGCGCATGCCTGTAATCCCAGCTACTCAGGAGGCTGAGGCAGGAGAATTGCCTGAACCCAGGAGGCGGAGGTTGCGGTGAGCCGAGATTGCGCCATTGCACTCCAGCCTGGGTAACAAGAGCGAAACTCCGTCTAAAAAAAAAAAAAAAAAAAAAAAAGATTCTCTCACGCCATAGACACATTTCCCCATCCATAACCTCTTATATCTTTTAAATTCTGGTTCATGTGCATGTGGTTTCTAGTTTTTTTGGTTTCTCTATTTTTTTTTTTTTTTTTTTTTTTGAGACGGAGTTTCGCTCTTGTTACCCAGGCTGGAGTGCAATGGCACGATCTCGGCTCACCGCAACCTCCGCCTCCTGGGTTCAGGCAATTCTCCTGCCTCAGCCTCCTGAGTAGCTGGGATTACAGGCACACGCCACCATGCCCAGCTAATTTTTTGTATTTTTAGTAGAGACGGGGTTTCACCGTGTTGACCAGGATGGTCTCGATCTCTTGACCTCGTGATCCACCCGCCTCAGCCTCCCAAAGTGCTGGGATTACAAGCTTGAGCCACCGCGCCCGGCTGGTTTCTCTATTTTTTAATTTTTTTTTTTTTTTTTTTTTTTTTTTTTTTTTCTGAGACAGGATGTCACTGCATCACCCAGGGCCATCTCAGCCTCCCAAGCACCTGGGACTATGGTCAGGCCCCCACCACACCCAGCAAATTTTTTTGCATTTTTTGTAGAAATGAGGTTTCACCACATTGCTCAGGATAGTCTCAAACTCCTCTTCAAGCAATCCACCAGGTTCAAATTCCCAAAGTGCTAGGATTACAACTGTGAGCCACTATGCCCAGCCTCTATTTTTTTAAATTGCAATTAAAAATAAAAATAAAAAATCAAGTCATTTTATCTTTCCATTTTAAACACTATCACCAGACAGTCAGAGGTGACAGAATTTGGGTTTAGGCCATAATCCCAAAAGACACAATCCCAAATGCCATAAACCCAAATGTTGAAATTTCAAAAGATCAAAATCCCTAAAATCTAAAATTCCAAAAATCACAATCCCAAAATAACAAAAACCTAAAAATAGGATTCTGGAAAAAATAATTTTTAAAAAGTTTTCTAAAAGACATTTATTTCCATTTTTTTTTTTTAAAGACGGGGTTTTATCATGTTGTTCAGGCTGGTCTTGAACTCCCGACCTCAGGTGATCCGCCCACCTTGGTCTCCAAAGTGCTTGGATTACAGCTGTGAGCCACCATGCCCGGCCTATTTCCATTTTTAAAAGATTTATTTGAGAAACATAAAAACACAACAGAACAGTTAACAGACCCCTTCACACAATAAAATAGGCACTAATAACATACTTTTGCAAGCATAAACACTCAGATGTACTAACAACAGTTGCATACGTATAACAGGAACAGATAAACTGTATTCATGAAGACATAGATTAAAAAGCAAAATACATAAACACATATCACTCTGGTTGGTAATTAGATGCACCCAGATTCGTAACTGCGCTCATCTGAAATACCAGACAACCAGAATCTTCTGACAAGATCAATCAAATGCTGCAATGGGTTACTAGCACTTGCACAAAAACTGCAAGAGTCACCCAAAGAGCCAAGATCCTGAGAAATTTTTATTTTTCACATATACAGATGAACAAAAAGGACATCTCTTCATTTACTGAGCAAGTTTCAACATTTTTATGTATATTCACAATGCCTACACATTAATTCACATTGTGATAATACACTTTTATGGAGTCAAATACTCAAAAAAATGCATAAAATGAGTTAGAATTCTCTAAAAGCCTTTACAGAATTTATACCTGCAGTATTAGAAATGATGCAAATGGTACTGTGTGTGAAAGGGCAGAAGTCATACCTGATTGAAAGACTGAAAATTTGACAGGGGAGATTTCTTATATTTTTCACCTACATATTCACTTCTGTGATCTTCAAAATATTCACTTGTGTTTAGAGAGTGGTTGTAGTCTAAAAATTTTATAAACATATGCTGACCATTTGGAAGTCTAGCTATTGCTTGGCCGTTGCAATTAAGTGATTTTCTGTTTTCATAATGCCAATAATCATTAGCTTTTAAACTTTTCTCTTTCATCATTAAGTAGCCTGGTATACTTAATTTATCACAACCTTTTTGCAACGGAACAATTTCACAGTTCTCTTCTATTGTGCTTTAAGGAATACAGTAAGAAGGAATGAGATTTGGCTTTCTTAGTACCAAACCTGTATTAGTCAGCATTCTCCAGAGAGACAGAACCAATAAGATAGATAGATAGATAGATAGATAGATAGATAGATAGATAGGCAGATAGATAGATAGATACACACATACACACACACACACACACACACCACAGATACATAAGAAGTGATTTATTAGGGGAATTGGCTCATGCAATTATAGTGGCTGAGAAGTTCCACAACAGGCCATTTTCAAGCTGTAGACCTTGGCATGCTAGTAGCTTGGCTCAGTCCAAAGTCCTCAGAAGCAGGCCAAATCAGGTCTCAGTCTGAGGCTGAAAACCCAGGACCCAAGGGGCTGCTGGTGTATGTCCTCAAGCAAGCCTGGAGATCTGATGTCCAATACAGCAGAAGAAAAGTCCGTTCCAGCTCCCAGAAAGGCAATTTATTCTCTCTGGGCCCCCAGCAGACTCAATGGTAGCCACCAACATTGAGGCAGATCTTCCCCACATAACCTACTCAGACTCAATACTAATCTCCTCACAGACAAACCCAAAATAATGCTTTTACAGATTTCTAGGTATTCCTTAATCCAATCAAGTTGACACCTAAAATTAAATCCACGAATCCACCCTTCGTCAAGTCAGCACCCACATGCAACTCCTTAAACCATACTTAATTTCCAAATTAATACAATAAAAAGACAATCGTTCCACCTAACATGATGCAACTAAAATGATGCAACTATCTTTTATACAACCAGATATGCACTAATCCCTTCCCCGGGTTTTGGCTTATGGCATTTCAACATTTAAGATTTTAATCTTTCATGATTGTGATTTTCAGGATTTTAGATGTATGAGATTTTTAGAATTTAGGGATTCTGGTTTTTAGAGATTTTTTATCTTTCAGTATCTCAACATTGGGATTATGGCATTAGGGAATGTGTCTTTCAGAGTTATGATCAGCACCAGTAGAATTTAGATAGTCATGAGGCTAAATTTCCAAAAATTTAACCTTTGTGTAAGCTTTTTCAGGAACCTACCAGAGAATATACATTTCATCAAAATCAGGAAGAAACTCAAGAAAGATGGCATGGAATACAACAAAGAAGGCATCCAATATAGGAGAAAAACTAAGAGAATCTCAAAATGGTGAAGCAAAGTGGAAGGCAACAAATCCAGAAAGAATGTGACAGAGAATCCAAGGGAGTTATTTCTGGGGATAGGAGGGGAGATAATCTAACAAGTTTAGAAATATACACTATCATATTGAGAAAGATTTTACAAAGACACTGGAAGGTGTGAGAAATTAAGCCTGAGGTAAAATAAATTAAGCAAACGAAAAAAATGAGACAATTTATGAACGCCAGTAAAAATTAAAGTTTTGTAAGAAAACATAGTCATAGATACTGACTTAGCAAATAGTATTTACACAGCCACAATACTGAAAAAAACAAATATAGGTTGTTTTCAAAGTATGATAGAACTATATTAGGAGGATGAGGGTATAGTATGAAATGCCTAAAAGAAGGAAGACAACAACACTATATTCACAGCTGAAATCAACTGTGGAAATGAAGCATGTTCTAATTTCTAGTAAGGCTTTGTCCAATCTCCAGTACTAATTAGATATGGTTAAGAGCAGCAAACTTGACTGTTAAAGCTTGCTTCAGGTAGTACCTTCTTTCTTAGAACAACATCCTCCAAGAATCTCCTTGCTCTGGCTTGGCACAGACTTTTTGCTGCTCAGCTGAAACAGGACTGG